CACCTATGCCGCTACCGGTCCCTTCTCCAGGCTTATCGCACAGTGTCCCGGTCCCTAATGGAAACCAGAATTCAGCTCCCTTGATAGCACACGCTATGTCCGTACTTACAACTGGTCATGTACCGGCCTTACCTTCTCCATCAGCTCAAAGAAGACATCATAGCTCGAGGCCAAGGATAGGACGAACTCATACTTCTTCTCCTACAGTTATCAGTGGACACAGTCTACCCCCTGTCACAAACAATGGTACGCAATTTCAACGTGGCCCAAGATCAAGAACTCACTCAAGTGCCTCAGAAAAATCCGCAATTCCCCCTCCTCCACCACTCCCAACACCACCTGCTCCAAACCAGGAACTTGCACCACAACGAGTCGCTACCCCTCCTCCCAGGGTCTCGTCTCCCCGGCCACAGAAAAGAACTAGAAAGAAGGCTGGTGTCGACCACCCTTCTTTACCAGCAGGCATGCTCAATGGCGCCGTTCCCCCAATCAATGTTCTCATTGTCGAAGATAACATTATCAATTTAAAACTCCTGGAAGCTTTCATGAAACGTCTTAAGGTACGCTGGCAAACTGCAATGAATGGTCGTGAAGCCGTGAATAAGTGGAGAGGTGGTGGTTTCCATTTAGTACTAATGGATATTCAACTTCCCATCATGTCCGGACTCGAAGCCACAAAGGAAATCCGCAGACTGGAGAGACTCAATAGTATTGGAGTTTTTAGCAGTAGTGCAAGTAGTAGTGCACCTAGCGAGAAACAGATGGCAGAAGAGGAACCAGAAGAAGGTGATAAATTGCCAAATACGGTACTATTCAAGAGTCCGGTTATCATTGTAGCTTTGACGGCTAGTTCGTTGCAGAGTGATAGACATGAGGCTTTAGCGGCGGGTTGTAATGATTTCCTGACAAAGGTTTGTTTATTCCATTGTAATTCGATTACATAAATGATCTGTTCAATGATGTACTAACACGCTTTTCAACAGCCCGTTAACTTCGTCTGGCTCGAACGTAAAGTTATGGAATGGGGATGCATGCAAGCATTGATCGATTTCGATGGTTGGCGCAAATGGAAAGATTTTAGTTCACAACAAGCAGCGGAGAAAGAGTCTGCTGATGCGAAGAAGAAGGATGCTCAGAGCGTTGTGAAGGCGAAGAAGAAGAACAGAAATTCAATGGGTAGTTTGGGAGGACTAGGCGGACAGGGGGGAAGTAGTTCGAAATTGAGCTTGTTGGGTCAGGGAAGTGGAAGGGTAGAAGGGGAGGCTGTTGTTGGATGAGTGAGGAGGGTTGAAGAACAATTTATGTATGAGGTTGAGGAACAGGGGAACAGTTGGTTTCGACACAAACATAGCACTGGCATTTAGCATGAGGGGATTTTCATTTGTTTCATTTTTTCATTTGTAGTAGCATTGCTCGGAGGGAGGAAGTTTTACTTGTTTCGCTTTTCCACTATATTTTTGGGATGAGGGTTGTGAATCAAGCGTTTTGGGTTCGGAATATAACGGGATGGAGCTCAAAATATACACATGTCGTGAGACGGCGGGACGACGGGCGTTTAGGGCGTGGGTGAAGTGTTGGTTGAACTTTCCTGATTGAATTTTCTTTGAAGGGTTTCTCTGAGTCTTTTGAGAACAAGCTTTAGGTGGGAATAGGAATAGGGGATGAAGAAAAGTACCTTGGTGGTTTCGAAGCGAGAATGGAAGCGAAGGGGATGAGTAGGGTAGGGAAGGGAGAAAAAGAGAAGAGTGGGTGTAAATTGAGATGAGAGGAGATAAAAGGGAAAGTATGAAATAGGAGGAGTTGGATGAAAGTGAAGTGAAGTGAAGTACATATTATGTGTATGAATAAAAGAGCGGATTAATCTGCACTTTGAATGACATTGATTATTGATTTGAAGGGAGAGAAGAAAGGAAGAGGAATAGAATAGGATGTGATGGATTAGAATGAGTTGGAATGGAATTGTGTGTGTGTGTGTGTGTGCGGTGAATATATATGTATTGTTGAAAATTATTGTTTTGAGGATTTGTTTGATGGTTATGATGTTAGATTGTGATTTTGTGATTTTGTGATTTTGATGTTTCTTGTACAAGTGTTGTAATGTAGTAGTGTATTGTGGATTGAATTGAGTTGTATATTGAGTTGTAGAATGAAGTTTGAAATTCGAAATTCGAATATATTTAAGAATGATAGGATGAGTATAGAATAGGTATATTAGATGAGATGGTGTTGATTATTGAATAGATATTATTTAGTAGATAATAAATAAAGAGTAGAGAGTAGAGAGTAGAGAGTTTAGAGAGAATATATAGATATGAATAAACAAAATGAATGAATATATAAGGGATATATATGAGAATTGGATATGGAAATTGGATTTGAAATGAAGAGGTGAAGATGATTATTCTTAATAAGAGTTTATTGGTTCAGCTGGTTGGTGGACAGTTGACAGTTTTTGAGGGATTGGGGGATTTGGATTTGAGGATTCGCGGATTTTCAATAAGGATTTGTGTTAAGGATAAAAGTGGGTTTTGAATTGGGGAAATGAAAGGGAAAATGGAAGGGAAGATGGGGATATGAAATGAAGGATGGGAAGATTACAAGATTGGAGTTAGAGTTGAATAGAGATGGGAATTGGGGATCTTTATTTGAGAAGAAAGATAAATATGAGTTTTGAGATGGGGAAATGAATAGGAATATAGAAAGGAGAATGGGAATATAGGAAGGGAGTATGAAAAGAAAGGATAGAAAGAGAGAATGGCAAGGGAGGATGTGAAGATAGATGTGAAGGTGGATAGGAAGATAGATAGGAAGATGGATAGGAAGATGGATAGGAAGATGGATAGGAAGATGGATAGGAATATAGATAGGAAGATAAAGAGAAAAATAAATTGGAAGATAAAAGAGAGAATAGGAAAAGTAGAATTTGGAATTGGAGTTGGAATTGGAGTTGAAGTTGAATAAAGATAGGGATAGGAATAGCCATTTGAGGGATTGGGGGGTTTTATGAGAGGGGGATTATAGGGGGGCCTTGAGAGGATTGGGATGGATGGGTTTGTATTGTGATGTTATTGAGTTGCTTGTGATGGGTATGAGTATACTTGATGAAGTGGAAAATGGCAGTTTTTACCTAATATTGACTCTTGAGAGGATTCTAGGTTTGAAATTTGGTGAGGGGTTGTTTGGGGGAATAGATGAGATGAATGGAGGAAGGGTGGTGTGAGTTCTGGACGGGTTCGTTGATTCTCCCTGGGACTATGGAATAAAAGAAGGGAAGACGATTGCTCAAAACTTGAGAAGATTGGGACGAGGATGTGCTGGAGCTTTTGATTAGTCTGCTTTGGTTTGTTTGAAATCGAGATGGATTTTTGACTAAGGAGTTGGATGTGTATGTTGATGGGTTAAGCGATATGTTTATGGTGGAAAGGGGGGTGGGGAAGTAAAGAGAGGGATAGAATACGGTCTTGGATGGATGTTTGGGATGGGATGTCATGTATGGACGTAATATGGCAACAAAATTACTGGCTAGTACAATAGTGAGGTTCGTTAACTCCAGATTGCCGAATGTGCATCTGAAGGATACCCATGTAGGACTAATCACTTGCGTAGAATACATGTGAGTTCTCAAAGACCGATATAGAAATTCAACAGAACTGCAGCCGAGATCCCTCTCGTCTGTCCCAAATAACATATTACAAAACACCAGCTAAGTATCTGGTCCACTGAATACGACGCATCGAGGAAAACAGTTCTCTGAAACAGAACACTGATTTGGTCCCTCATGATCTCGACACCTCCAGATTCAATTTCTCAACAAAATAAGCATACGCTCCATGATACTAATCGTGAGCAACCTTACCATTTTCATGATTATCTTGCATGCCTTTTGGACAGCCATTTATATGCAAATCAAGCATAGAGATTTCGCTTTGGAAGCCAGGTCAAAACATGATTGACGTTGAAATCGGAAGATTCGGGGTCTTTATTGGTCTAGCCCTAACAATTATCCGGCTTCGGGTTGAACAATTAGTGTGTCCGTCCCGTCTCGTATATCTAGCCGATTAAAACCCCCATTCCCCCTATCTGACCTCCTTGAGTAATTCTCCAATAAGATGAATTCAGCAAAGAGTCATCTGTTCACTCCGAAACGATGCACCGAGTAGGAAAGATGTGAAGCATGTCAAACGATGTCAGCTTTGCCCCATATATTATTTGTTCTACTCTACTTGTACGTTAAAGAAGATATCTAGAGTTTCAAAGGATTGCAGTTCCATTTGCAGAACGGGCACGGAATGTGAGTCACTTCCCGTATACTACCAAATGATAAAACAATATTCAAGATCTGCATGAAACTAGATCCATTTGTTCGCCACTCTTGAGAGGTCTATATATATTAGCTAGCATGCCCGCCCTCGAAATTTCCGATATCATGTAGGGGAACTTGTGATGAGTGACGGATGAGTGATGTGTGAATGCGATTGATCAATCATATCTGTCCATTCGAAAGTTCTGCCTGCCTGTCTGATTGTTACGCGAAGGCAATCATGGGGAATTGAGAATGACGCTTTTCCTGATTCTGTTGGCCGAAAAGGCTGTGCTAGTCAACGATTATGGGACCCAATCGTATTGATCTGACAAGATCCACATTGACTCGCCGGTACAGAATAGGTTTAGTGGACTGACAGGGAGTCTTTGGAGTCATTGCGACCTGCATTGATTACTTTGAGTGAGATGAACCTCGAAAATGTCATATTAGATACAGTTTTTTCCTTTCAGGCTCCCAAAACTTGTCGTCTTTTCCGTAAGATTCATCGATACTAATTCTAATTCTAATTCCATTTCCATTTCCATTTCCAATTGTTCATTCAATACTCCTCGTCGTTCATTCTCTTCTGTGAGTTCAACGGCCAGTAGAGTCACCCCGGAACGAATACAATTACCTACCCCTCTTACAAATCATCTAATCGATAAGGCTGTACAAGCAAGTAGTCAATTGATCAACAATGTCTACAGGAAATCAAATGCCTACTTTCAACACTTCTTTCACAATTACCCAACCCTTCTTGGGTGCACCCCTTCAATTCCAACCTGCTCTTGGATCAAAAGAGCTTGAGGAATTGATTGATGCTTACGTTGTTGGAGATGCTTGTAAACAAGACAAACTTTCCACCGTGACAATCGATTTCTATAACCATGCAACCGTCGATATCAACACTGGTTCCCTGGTGCGTCGATACGATGTTATGCCATGGACTTTTGGGCAAAGTCCTTCTCAATCACAATCTTCAGGATTGAGTCCACCAATTTTCACTCCTAGCCCTGCCTCCTCAGCTACCTTCGCCGTCTCTTCTTATAGCTCAATGAGCACCCCACCCAATCGCACTAGGGGGTCACGAGTCACAAAGAAGACGAAGAGGGACACCACCAAGAAGTCTGCAGAAGTCAGACTACCTGGCTTCTCTATCATGACTAAGGATGGTATCGATGTTACAAATTCCGCTGGCCGTGGAACTAAAACGAAAGAACAGAGAGAGCATGCACATCTGATGAGAATCATTAAAGCTTGTGATGAGTGCAAGCGAAAGAAGATCAGAGTGGGCAACTCAATTTTACTCTTCGGCCGAATCTTTGCTAATCGAACTATAGTGTGATCCATCTCATAGACGTGCTTCTCATACAAACACTCCTAGAGCATCTACGTCAAGCAGGCCTTCTCCTCCCTCACAATCAAATCCAAGTCCTGCTGCATCAACACCTTCATTATCTAGAGACACCACACAAAGTTCTGAACAAAGCAGTCCTCCTATTGATTCATTCTCAATTGAAGATTTTGTTCTTTTTCCAGAGGACGAACTCAACCAATGGAACCCGGAGATGGCTATCCCAGGTTTTGATACTCAATACAACGACTTCAGCATGACTAATCACGAAAACTTCCCTGATTTCGATACCAGTTTCTCAACGATGAATGATAATATATCATTCGACTTTCCAATCTACGACCAATCCTCATCTTTTAGCCCTCAGCTATTGAATAACACTAGTCACGTACTAAGTTATCACAACACGCAACCATTGGGTTGCGCAGATGTCAACTCGCAACACATATCTCAAACTCAACCACAACCCGATGTAGATTTCTTGGAATCATTTAGCAATATACCGAACTTCTCGCCAACCCATACTCAACAAGCTCATCCACAAGGCTTAACAAATGAAGATCCAGGCAAGATTGATAGTTATGTACATGTTTCAGCTGCGAGATCTCAAGCATACAACATCTCATCGGTATTATCGACCGCAAACACCCAGACCAGTGGCGCAAATATCCTAAATGACTTCTCTCCGACATTCGGCCTCTCCCCAACTGATAGTTCTTACCAATCACACGGCTCAGAAAGCGGCTTCGTAAGCACCGGCCCAGAGAATGCACATGATTTTACTACTAGTTCGGGTGTCGACTCGGGCATTGAACAATCACCACGATCCGAATCAAGTGCTAGCGGCCATGAGACGGCATTCAGTACCAAGAAGGGACGCAGTCATAGCCAACGCAACAGACACCAAGTATCGTTAGAAAGTGAACGCAAGCGCATTGATGATCACGGCCGCCAGGTTATGGAGGTTCTCCTATCCAACAATGGCAAGTCACATGTTCCCGGTGCTGGCACTGAACAACCACTTTCAGGCCCGAGCATTTCACATGGCGGCGACGGCTTCGCGATAGACACAAATACTTTCAAGAGCTTCGCTTCTGGTAGTATGCCCGCTCATGAAGAAACCCCATGGAGCTTTGAATCAACGCTCTCTTCATTGGCTAGATCTCGACCGGAAGTACCACAAATGGCGATGGAAAGCGACCGCGCCGAAGGCGTATCTGTTGTGAAACCACACGAAAACTGTGACGGCTTTGCAAGATCGAATAACTCGACGATTATTGATGCCTCTTCAAGTCGTGCTGTACGACTTGCTGGCGATCATGTCTCGTCTCGCCTTGTAAACTTTGCTGGAGCCAGCTCGGATAGAAAGATACTAAGTGTCGGCACTGACCGTGTATCTACCCACCTACCGGCAAGATTGACAATGTCAAGTCTAAGAGCCAAGGTCGCAGTGGAAAGCACGCCAACGGTATCATCCAATCTAGTTGTACCGGGCCAAGTCAGCGTTGTTTCTTCTCCTGGCTTCGTACTTGTGAAGAAGTCTGCAAGGACATCATCTGGTTCTTCCAGCAAGGTCAACAATGGCTCCTTGGATTACAACGGCGTTGAGACAATTGTTCAAAAGGCCCAGGGTGCTTCGCTTGTACAGCTATCAAGCCCAAGCTTGAGCCTGCACACTTCAGGACACACCTCTACTCTGTTGAAGAGTGGCATAGAAGTAGTAAATACACCGGCAGCAACTGTCCTCGGCACGGTCTTAACTCTCGTAGCCCTATCAGCGCTTGGTCTTGCCACTTCCGTGGCGGCATCCAAGCATGCTGAGGCAGCCGCGGTGGTATTGGCTATTTGTCTACTTGCATCTGTATGTGGTGATACTCGATCCGTCATTCCTGAGTCTGGAAAGGGGTTCATGAACATCTCGCTTGGTGCATTAATGTGGAACTTTTGGTCGGATATGATACTCAAGATAGATTGCGAACGTCAACGTGTAAGTTTTTCTGGGCGAGAGCCTCTACATTATCCAGGCCCTAGAGAATATTTACTAATGCATTTTCAATAGGTACCGAAAGGAAAGAACAATGGATTGTTGGGTGCGGCTGGAGAGATGGCGAAGAAGTTTTCCTCGAGAATCTTGATCTAGATGTTGGCATTCGTGCTAGACATGATTAGATATTTGAGGAGACGACACTTCACCCTTTTTTTCTGGCTGTGTTGCTATTTGGCGAATGGTATATCGGTTGCGACATGATGCTTTCTATCTGGCATTTCACTTTTTTCAAGATGAATAGACAAGAAAAGACATCGGTGTGTAGAACCTGTTTTGGACGAGGTTTTAAAAGCACATGGGAGTATGGTTTGTTTTCATGGCGCATAAATACGGCATGGCATATGTGTTTTTGATAAAAGTATGTGTGTATACGTAGGTATATCCTAGATGGCGATATAGAAATATTGATTTTTCTGCCACTTTTTGTTTTCTCTGATGTTTGAATTTCATTATGTATTTTCTGACTTGGAAGCTTTGCTCGGATCTTAATGTGATCGTTTCTGTATAGGTAGTATTGAATATGTGATTACTAGTATTTCTGGTTGAATTATGATGACATGCATGGGTACTATCTGTGTGTATTCCTCCCCCTATCGTATCCACATCCCAATCATCTTTTACTCGTTTCATTGAAACCATATCAAAGATTCTCTATTAACCAGCTCATTATCGTCTCATCTCATTTCATTCTGTCTAATTCCTTTAGAAGTAGCAGGGGGGGGGGGGGGGTGTAGATAAATCTATATACTGAACATCAAATATACAATAGAATTCCATTTTCTTCGAAGAGGTAATGGAATGTTTCTTCCCGAGGTCTTTTCATAATATCGGGATATACATATACACATAGTCTTGAGAAAATTGTGGAAAGTATCAGGAGAGAGAAGTTTCGGTAGCCACTAGTGAGTGTCCTTACGACTGACTGGTTGATTGATTGATTGATTACTTATGTTGCGAGATATGAGATATCTTGACGGATGAGTATATAGTAGGTGGGTGGTCTTTAGATAGATGATATACAATTCTCTTCAGGATGCAATGGGATTACATGTAAGATACATCTAACATTTCAAATCTTATTTCATTCCAATTCTCACTCTTCTGTTATGTGAAGTTTCAGATCAGACTACGTAGGTATGTATGTATGTATGCATGCAAATCAGTATGTTCCATTCATCCACCCATCCATCATCAAATCATTCCCAACACGCAAATCATTTCTCATCCGCTGCTTTCCTCCACCAGTCCCCAGCAATACCCCTCCCCCGCGTTATCCAGAACGACGAAGTACAAAGTACCAATAGATAAAAAATGCTTTCGATTCCGAAAAATTTCGATCAAGTAAAAGAAACGAGTACCGTAGATACTTAATAATACAAATACAAATGACAAATTGACAAAGTAGATCCATCCGTGAATGCAAGCTCGCGTTCCGAGTAAACGAGTAGACACCGCATCGTGGTTGTTAGTGTGTATTTCCATTTCGCTCTAGTCATGGCGAAAGTAGAAAGTAGCTAGTACTGCAGCATCGAGCAAGACAAGGGAGATTGATTGTAAAGAACAGGGGAGAAAAGAATCAAAGGTGATAATAGTACGTAGGAAGGATGGAAATTCGATTGCGTGGAAGACCTGCTTGAGACATTTGAAACTTTAGGCACTGCTGTTACAGCATCAGTCTCGTATATTTCAAATGCAGAAAGATAATACTTTACTTACAAATTCCCAAGTAGTCGGGAAATTGGTCGACGATGCATTTTGCGACATCATCTAAAAGAGAACGAAGAACCATAAATTTGTTTTATGCAAATTATAGGCCGACGTTTCAAGTAATTTCGTTGTACCCATGGAACCCAAATGAAAACCAAGCAAAAGCTTAACTAATCGTTTATCGGTAAAGGAGTCTTTGAATAGCGACCCGTTCTTTTTTTAAAAAAAATCTCAGCAAATGTCTTTTTTTCTAATTGCGCATCGAAGAGCATGGGTAGGTAGCCTCACAAATAATCCCTCTCGAATTCTGCATCCAAATGAACGGGTACCCTATCATGATCCTCAGAGTCATTCCTCTTATCTCTTTCTCTCTCCTTTTCCTTGTCTTCTGACTTGCTTGCTAACAATTGCAACAGCAATTTATTATTTTGTGAAACGATAAACTCAATTTTATCGACTTTGCTTTCTAATGCCCGTAGTCTTGAGTCATTGCCCATTATATCGCGCCAGTCTTCTTTGCTCAATTGGCCTTCCACTACGACGCGTCGAGGTGGGGATGGGGGATGAGGATGCGCGATTCGATATTCTGGGGCGTAGGGAACCATTGGTTCTTGGTGAACTTGAGGTGGTAGATGGTGTTCGTTATTCGTAGTTCTTCTTCTTTTGTGAGGACGAAATCCGTTTGCATCGCCAAATTCTCCATTTGGGCCTGATTGGTATACCATTTCTTGACCAGGAGGAGGAGGAGGAGGAGGAGGAGGATGCTGAAGTTGATTTTGTCCCATATCTGCGATTGGCTGTGGAGGAGCCGGGCCCGCAACGATTCGTACACCTGGGCTTTGACTTTGCATTGAGCTTTCCTGCGCAATCACTTGTTTCCTGGCTTCTTTCCTTGATTCCTCTACCCTTCTCCTCGCATCCACCTGTCGTTGTCTCTCGGCCTCCGCGTCAGAATCCTCCACCTTTAAAAATTCAATCCATTCATCCAATAATGTATTTAATTCACCACCCGGCTTATCGGGAATAACACCATTTTCCCAATCGCACACTTGTCTCCTACGAGCTTCTACCAATCTTGCGACAGTCGCGCTCATTTGCGCCAGAACTTTATTAGTAGACTCATGAAATTGTGCATTAACTCCATTCCAAAATTGACTCTTCGTTCCTTCCTTGAAATTGTGTTTTTGAGCGATACAAGCTTTCAATGCTTGAATTTGATCGCGCTCATCTAAATTCTGCCTGGGTTTGCGCGTGGCACTTCCACCTCCAATACTACTCGCGACGGAACTTTCTCTTAATTCTCTAGCTGGAGTCATCAAACTTCGTGGGATACTAGGAGGATGCATGCGCGATTCACTGCTTGGAGTTGTCATGGTGGGAGTTTGAGTTTGTGGTTGTGTTGAAGCTGGGGTTGAAATATTGGGCGATGGACGCGAATTTGCTGGGGTGGATGGAGGTAGAATGGGAGCGGGATGGGGCGCGGATGATAGCGATTGTCGGGACGAAGCGTTTTGCGCCATTGCTGGAACGAGCTTGAATGTGTGAAACGCTGATGGCATAGGTAAGTTGAAGTTGAAGTTGGATCAGTCTCTGAAGATGGGGGAGAAGTTTTTAGATTTGGTGCAGGGCAGGGTGCGAATTTGGAGCCACAGCGGATTCATGGTTCGCGATGAGGCTAATTTTAGAAACTAGTCTCGATGAGGATTAGCTTACCTGCTACGGTTTGATCAATTGCAACCGGTGGTAAACGATCTGTGAAGACCATGATTGCTTATTATTCTGGTCACAACTATTGATTATTTGGTTCAAAGTCTGGGAAAATTCCGAAGATAAATCTAAATTTATGAAGCATCAAAGAGATGAATAGTTAATGTTGAAAGATCGTTCCCTTTGCTTAATCTACTCTCTACCTCTTCTCCCCCTCGCAGTTACTTTTAGCTTCCTAATTCACTATATTCAAGGAAATTCCTCGCTTTTCCCAAAAGCATCAATGACACTGCCCCTTTAAATCTTAAATAATTACGTGAAACATTTCTTATTCACAATAAACTCTATTCGACTACACTAGATTATAATTCATCAATTAGACAAACATTGGTAATACGTTAAAGATTTCAAAGAGCTGTGCTAATGCTAATCATTTTCTCCTCCCAAATTCTAAATATGGTACTCAAAATCCAACTCTCCATCCCCAGTCTTTACTTTCCTACTATCCTCAATCTCTCCCTTTCCAATCTTCTCCTTCATTCTATTCTGACTCTTCACATACCAAATCTTTACTACAATCAATACTTGAGCGAGACATAATGCTCCCAAGGAGAAACTATTTCCAAGAACATAAGGAGAGGTTCGATATATTTGGCCTGCTACTATTCCAGCCGTGTTGGCAATAGATTGCTGAACCCCGATTGCTGTTGCGCGCCTGTAATGTGGTGCTACGTTGACGTTTAGCCAGGTTACGTTGAGTCCAGGACCTGTATAGACGGCGATGGCACAGAGGAAGGTTGCGAAGAATTTTACCCCTAGGATAACGGTTAGTTTTTCGTTGGTAAATATTCCGATAAGGATCATTTACCTTCAGCCTTCACTGTGAGCAGCAGTATATACCCAACGATTCCAAAGATATTGGCGAAAAATAAAATCTCGAATCTAGGTTAATCTTCGCTGCAACTCAAAAATCCGAGATTGACTTACAGGCCCGCGCATACTGATCTTGTCCGATACCCAAGCCAAAAACAGGAAACTAATCGCACCCCACATATACACTGGTATAGTAAGATAGTTTGCTTGAAGTGTGTCGTAGTTCATTGCTTTCAGAATGGAGGGCAAGAATGTACTAAACCCATACAGCAAGCAGTCTTGCATGAATTGAATGGCAGCACTTGAATTCTGGTCAGCTCAAAGCTCAGTTAAACTTAGAACTTCTGTTCGTACCTCATATAAAGCTTGGGGTCTTTGAGCTCGATTCGAAATTCTTCCCACGAGAACTTTTCGGAACCTACGCACAATGATGAGCTAAGAATTTGTAGCTGTGACGGGAACCGATTGCACACCCATATATTTCTGCCTCTGTATAGCTCTCAGTCTCATCATCTCCCTTTCTTCTGCATTTAAAAACCATGCATTGCCAGGGTCTGTCGGAAGACCAAACCAAACGACTACAGCGACTACAACACTGAACAGCCCCTCGATGATGTATACCCATCTGAAATTATTAGCGCCTTTCAATTCAGTCTTTCATGAAACCAGAACAAACCTCCAGCCCGCAACTCCTGATATGCCATTCATTTGGAGAATTGCATAAGCTAAAAGACCTCCAAATGCACCGGACAAAGCAGCGCAACTGAACAAATATCCGACTCGCTTAGCCTGCTCTTCTCGACGATACACCATCGTTAAATACAAATTCAGACAGGGAAATAGACCTGCTTCGCAACATCCAAGAATCAATCTTGTAGCATAGAGACCTCCAATGTTTTGAACGAATCCGGTGAAAATGGTAGTGAGTGACCATACGGCGCAAAGTGTAGATAAAATCACGCGAGGAGTGATTTTCTTCATTAATACCGCTGCCGGTGTCTCAAAGGTCACATAAGTTGCGTAAAAGATTGATACAGCGGTAGAAAACTGCTGGTCTGTAGCACGTATGTCTGTCAACATACCAGCCACTTTCACATTGCCTAATAATCGTGAGTTTCTAATCATTGCCAAGATGATCAATCGTGCTTACCTATGTTGGAGCGATCTAAGAAACAAGATAAATAAACCAACATTATCACTGGAGTGAATGCAAGATCGAGTTTCGCCAGTAGTTTGACTTCTTTTGCTGGATCAATGTAGACATCGATTTCTGAGTCGTCTGTATGGCCTAGAACCCCAGGCTTCTCGTGAAGTGACTCCATCTTCTCACTATGAGGTTGCTCCATCCTGTCTGATTTGTGTTAGGTGTGGCGAAAATTGTTCAGATCAACTTCAGCACGAGGAACAGTCGATATTGACATATATCGGTGGCATCATAAATCTAGTCAATATCCTCATTATTATATGTGTGAACATAGTGTCGAATATGGCAGGGAACTATGATGTTGCCCTGTTCACGGTCTTGCAGTCCCGCGCGCGGGGTTGGCCCGATAAGACACCTATCAGAAGGATTTATGCAAGATCGTCTTGCTATCTGCACTTATCCGTACCCATTAAACGTAGCCGTTCAGCTAGTGGCATGTATGCAAGGATTCAGAGTTACTTCGCGTGACCGATAATGCACCCAACGGTGGAGGAACTCCGCTGTGCCATGCGGTCCCATATTTTACCAACCCCATAAATGATGTTTATCTTGTCGGGAAGATAACTGAATAATGTTAATACATGAGGAGACTAATTCTAATACTGATCATAATCTAGACATGCATTGACTTAAGATCCGTTAATTGGATTTTATATATGGTATCCAAATCAAATGATGGGGATTTTTCATAGTCTGTAGCCGATTAAATCTGAGGCCTTAAGACTACGCAGTACTCAAAACAAGATACCCATGTCACGACTCGAATGTTGAGAGTCAAATCGTATTCATGTACGCGAACCTAATCCATCGGACCATGTTGAATAATCAATTGCAAGATCGCTGCCCATCAAGAGGTCGAATTCAACATCGTTCATAGCAAGACTATCCCAGTCAACATTGTCTGGAGAAATGGTGGTATCAGCTCCAGAATCAAGAAGACCCATCATGAGATCAAAATTGCCCGGGGAGGTCTTTTGAAGGTCCTCTGTCGATGGTTCTCTGATGGCAGCTGTGATGGCGTCTCGGACTTGTTTTGCGCATGCCCATGTCAACAATACACCGTCGATAGCTTCTAATATTTGATCCAAGGGTCTAGAAACTGTAGGTTCTTTCCAAGAAGAGCCTTCGGTAGATCTTTTCATCAATAGTATACTCGCAGCTGATGCGAGGGTATGAACAAATGTAATAGGAAGGTGGCTATAAGGGTAGTTTTGAAGGTTATTAGAGTGCATTCGAAGAAGTTTCATGATGATATCCAATGACTCGTAGCATATCTGCATATCCTCGGTTTCGCCAATTCCTGGTTCTTTAAAAGCAGCCCTTGGTGGGCGGTGAAGAAGTATCATTGCTGTATGATATTGCATGCTTAATAGTGTTAGTAAATCTCAAAATCACAGGCATCTAAACTTACTGTAGATGGAGTACGAAAGGAGGCACATTTCCTGCGGTCCGTTTTGTCCAGTGAAGTTTCGCTGGCAAGTTTTTTAGCCATTTTGTCAAGGCCACATCCACTTCTCTGATTGAGGTCTCCAAAATCGTTGGATCCGTATTCACATTTCTATTTTCGAAAACTTTCGTAATCATAAGATGTAATATTTTGCAAAGCTCGATTTGATGAACCCATGAAGCGACTAATGCAAGACCATCCTCATATGCAGTCTCGGAAGTGCCCTCCATTATGTATTTATTGAGAAGAGACTTCCATTCTGGTGGATAGGGTATCCGCACAGTGTCATGAACATCTGATTCTGCAGGGTAAAGAGCGGGTGGTCTTCCGAAATAGAGACTCAACTGCTTATCTGCTATAAAAGCAGCCCAATACGCTCTTCGTAAGATTTCTCTGTCGATCCAGGAATCATTAGAACCCTTCCAATTGGTTGGATCGAGATGCAACCCCATCTCATGTGCAATTCGAAAAGCCATGCCTGAAAATAGCCAACCCTTGGAAGTCTTTCCGTGTCCAATTTCCCGATGACCAAGAAGCAAAAGGGGCTTGTAAAGTCGTAAGGTTTGGAGATTCTAGTGCAGTTCCATATAGGATTTCTTGAGCACGATTGGAAAATATATCGGATAGTTCTCTCTGGGTTATACTCTCACTAGCAAGAGCACCCATTGAACAGACGGCATACATGAGAAGATCTGAGTAATATGGTCCCGTACCAGCATCGAAGTCTCTGAGAAAATATTCCCTATACAAGCACATGTGGTATTGGTACTGGTTTTGAAAGAATATCCTCATAAGGCATTTGCAGATATCACTTCGAGGAGAAAAAGCTAAATGCTCTTCCATCGATCCACCTGGTATATTTAGAGTTTGGATAGTAGCTGGCTGCTTGACTTCAAGCTGTGGTAGTATGGTAGATGGAGAAGTATCATCTAGATCTTCTGACGGGCTAATCTGGAAAAAGCTAGTTGCACCATAGAATTCGGCCGAATTACCGTCCTTAAGTTTCCTGAGGTGACCGGCCCGTGACCTTACAGGAATTCTTTGGGTTTCTGGTGGACTGGGCTCTGGGAAAGTAGAAGATTGCTTTGACTGTAGACTCAGATGATTCGTGGAAGCACTGAAATCAGCTAACATTTCGTCTCGCTTGGAAGCATCTGCGGCAATAAGTTTGGTAATAAATAGTTCCAGGGAGGCTATTTGACCTTCGAGGGCTTGCACGTAACCTTTTGGCACAGGCCTAGACTCAAGTAAGGAAATGAGCAGGAGGCACTTTAGTTAATGACATGCATATAAGCATACCTCGATTTTTCCGATTGAGGATAAACACACTCATGATTTCCTTTCCGACATGCAGGACACGGCTGTGTACGATCACACTTGATCTAAGATTATATCGTCAAACACGCATTTTTTGTCAGGGCATATCCGCTGAAATCACCTACCCGCCTGTATCGGCATCTCTCACATCTGTAAGATAGACATTAGTACTTCCGTGTGACCATATCGGCAATTAAAACCTACGAAACTTTTGATGCTATTTGTCCAGGCAATTTACCTCCTGACTGACTCATTGCGGAGATATACTGTGACAACTTATGTCTTCTCGCAGGGCTGAGGTGTCGATGCAGCACAGGCGTGTAGACTAGGGCAGTCACGAAGATCTGATATCACTAAACTCAAAAAGATGAAAACTAACGTGTTAGTTTCTGAGGGAACCGACACAATTGTATCAAAATTGTATCTATAAAGTTAACAACCTACTGTATTCATATTCAGGTATGGTTGGTGATGATGTGTGAGGATTAGCCTGGTTCTACTCAGCTTGAGCTCAGATACGCCCACCTAGGCCCGAGCTAACGGTCAATATGTTTATCCCGTTTTATGATAGGCAAGCTCACTCTGCTATCCAACTGTCTAACGCAGTCAACTATGAGAACTAGGTAGACATTAATCCCAATTAAAAGATTTGCAATGCCTTTGCTCAGTTTACATATTGTTTAGAATGCACGTCGAACGATTTTAATACCATTCGGAATCTAAACTGTTACTGGGTGAAATACAGTTGAGCGTCGAAACAGACTAGAAATTATAATTGGCTATCGATTCGACTCCGGAAAGTGGAATAAGGTTTAGAGGCAAAAATGGTTGATTCATGAAATGAAAATTGGAACCATTAAAGACCAAGTTTCCGAGCCCTGAGGATTATTTGACTGAAATCTTTACTGGGACATTCAAAAGTCTTACGAGGATGCATTTCTAGTTGGACAAACCTGTCTATCGACTCAATTCTTAACAAGATCACCGTCTCTGCAGTCTAATACTAGCATGTGGCCCGGTGCATGACCCATGACGGTTCCCTCCAAGCCAGCGCTGACAACAGCGTACTGCGGGGTAACACCACATCCCCAAAACACCGGAACTATTTCGTCGTCTGGACTCAGTGGGTTTCCATTATCATTGACAGAGGCATCGCCCCAATCTGGTTTAGTAATGTCCCGAATTCCCAATTTCTCGATGGCATCCCATCCCCAAGCAATGGGTTCCCCATGAGTTGCTAGAAATGGTCTTGTGATTTCTCTAACTTTCTCGATATCATCCTTTCTGTATGGCCTCATAGATACCACATATGTGCCCCGGTCAAAGACTCCAGCAGGACACAAAGATATGTTAGTCCTGTACATCGGCACATTTCGATAGTGTCTGATGTGCGATGGCGTTAATCCAGCATCAACAAGAGCGCCTTCAAAACTGTACGAGCATCCGATTAAGAAAGCTACATGATCGTCTGTCCAGTGCGCCTTTATGTCATCAACATGATCGCCTAAGAGCTCGCCATGCTCGTAGACCATATATTTTGGAATGTCGGTTCGGATATCGATATTTGCAGCCAGATCTTCATCTGCCACCCCTTCTATCCATGATTCGAGAGCATTATAGGATCCTACTGCGGCAGATTTGGCGATTAGAGGACACGGTACTGGATTTCTCTTGCAGAATCGCTCGAAGTCGCCAGCATAGCGCGAAGGCAGAACGATAAGGTTAGCTTGGAGATGTGATGGCGCAAGAGATGAGGTCTGTCCTATCTCGCATTTGCGTGCCGATTCTCGAACACTTGCGCCGGACATTGTTAATGTATGATGCTATATGAGTGTAACAGTGAAAATCGCATCAACGTATGGAGGTTGATGAAAGACGTCGTGTTTTCACAAATAGCTAACAGACATATGAAGAGTACACATGAATGAGAAGATTAGAATATACCTACCTAAATACCCACCTGAATATTTGCTTCTGGTGACTCTTATCGAGCTGAGAAAGGCACTTTTATGAAGACGGAGTTCAATCTGCGCTTCAAGCAAAAAGAACATTCTGCCACATGCGGGCAAAGGCGGTAAGATTGACCTGCCATTTTTCTTATCATCGACTGCAAGCTATGCAGTCTTTTCCTATAGATGATGATTCGTCTCTCTACAGGAACTAAAGCCTCCAGTCTCAAATTCGCCTGACAGTTGATTCCTGGTGAGCATTTTAGATTTTATGCCTAAGGAAGTCTCAATATTCTATCTTGCAAAATGTATCTTCTGGTGCGAACTTGGGATCAAATAGCGACATGATGGATACTGTAACAAAATTTTGAGAAGAAGATGGCCTTTGGGGGTATTCTTTGCCACTGTCGATAACCTTAAGCAGCGATAGCGCAAGTTATTTCTGAGCATGAGAATAGAAAGATAAATGTTCTCGTTTCCCGTCTTGATTGTACAGTGCGTACATTGAAACGAAAGAAGGCAAGGGAGCTGGCTTTCTCCATGGCAGAACAATCATTGAGAAAAAGCCGTCCGTCCAAACTCTAGCTTTTGAGATCTTGGTCCTTATTGTTGGTCATAAACCTGATCTGGTTTAAATAAATCTCCATTATGGACGAGTTCACTCAGCTTGGAGAGTGAAAGGCGATGAAATTATGACATTGCCTCCTCTTCTGGAATTCCTGGTAGCCAAGTTCACAGATTGATAGCATTCCAAAAGATATCATGAATGGCTTTTATTGTATTCACTACATATGCCTTCTTATCTATTCTACTCAGAATCGAAAATTCTCTTTATATCCAAATCCAAACACCATAATATTGTACAGCACAACTGGTGTACAGCCTGTATTCGAAGATTCAAATATAAAGTCTGAAATCCCGTGCGGGTTTCCCTGGTAATTACCGTTTGCACAAATCCTATTGAACCCCAAAACTCCTTCCAAGGTATCACTGCAGGAAATAACCAACTGATTCTGAACAGTCTACCAAAAACCCACCAGCTTACATTCCCCTCGCTAGATATTCCACTCGCGAGGCTTCCACTGATCATCCATCGTAACTCCGCTTTTGACCAATTTACACTCCAGCGTGCCCCATTTCTCGAGATAAACACCTCTTCCTAATGCGACAGTCATTTGGATGGCTTTCTCAAAGCCATCTGCATTGCGATAGTAAGGTTCGCCTTGACCTCCGGATTGTTGATGTTGCCACGTATTTCGACCATCGGCGCCTTGGGAATACTTGGCTCCTACCATGTCGTTGATGACTTGGAGCAGTTGAAAATAGGATGATGAGCTGGGCTCGTCACTTATCCATTCCGAGCTTGAAGATGTGGATGGAGAAGATGCGGTCGGATTTTTTGAGGCTGATTTTGAGGTGGCTTCATGGAGATCCTCTAATGATTCTATTTGAGAATCTGCTGATGAATCTTCCAGATCTCGCTTTCTATACTGGCCCACGTTTGAGTAGGTAGTTGAAGAACTGGATTTTTTCTCCACTTTTTCCTTTTTTTGTCGCAATTCTTGCTGCCTGTCTAATGATTCCTTTACCTCAGCATTGCCAATTTGATATCCTGTACTGGTATCGGCATTGGTCTTCGGGTGATCCATAACATGGCCTTCATTCTGGGCCTTTTCCTCCTCCTGTTTCTTGATTTCTTCGGCTTTATTGTCAAGCGTAGCTTGCTCTCTCATTGCCTGAGCTTTCACCTGTTCTTGCATCACCTTCGCATGCGCTTGCGCATTCTCGTCATCAATCACAGCCTGTTTTTGGTTTTCTTCGGTCTTTCTCCAGGCCTCTTCTTGCTCTTGACCTTCCTTTTCCATCTTCAGCTGTTCCTCGTTATGCTCGCGTCCTGCTTCAGTATCTTCCGGCCTGGTATGGTCCGTAAAACTGGCTTCTACAGTATTCTTCTTCCGGTATAGAACGACCAAATCGTCAATGCTGTTCGCAACATCATAAATATATCCACGTCCAGCTCTATCCAATCCGTCAAATTCATCCCCAACTGTTGTCATTAAATGGCGTGGCTCGTTCATTTCGTATCCAGCCATGACCAATCGATCATACATATCACAATCAGTATGATAGAAAGGAATGGTAGTGTCAAATCCACCGACTGATTCAAAGGCCACTCTGTTTACCAAGGTTAAGTAATCAAATGCAAAGAATCTCATCGCCCATGGCTTACTTCGATCCGAGGAGTTCGGGTCCGGACCAGGTGATTGTGCTGATTTGAGAACCTCGACAGCATGTTGATAGATAGTTTTATGACCAGAGTAATCATCAGATACTGAGGTGTCCTCTTCGAAAGTGATAGGAACGATATCCATATGACTCCAGAAATATGTCTCGAGGTCCTTTTCGATAGCGGTCCAGAGAAAGAAATTCTGCAACTGGGCAAATGTATAAAGGGTAGGTGTAACTATGACATTTACACCTAACATATGAAGCCGAGTATGATTCAGGAAAAAAGGATTTTGGAGGGAAAGGCGACCAAACTCGTTGGATCTCATCGTACCGGTGTTTTCAACGACATATATATCTTCGGCTGGCCAACCTGAAGTTATCCAAGAGACAACCGTTTGCTGAAGTAATGGCCAGTTCCTAGTGAAAGCAATGAAAAGGGGCGTTTTCTCTTTTACGTGAGGGGTCGGAGGTTTGTTCCATGGGGGAATAGGAGGTAAGTCGGCGGCGGAGCGGGCGTTCATTGCTAATGGGAAATTATCTTTGACCATCGGATTGAGTCCTTGCTGTTGCTGAGTCTCTTGAGATGAAATACTTTGCTGTCCATGATTTTCTGCTTGTGGAGCTTGTGTCTGCTCCGAGGAAAAATGTTGTCTTGACTCAGAGGCCTCATTTTGAGCCGCCTGAGATTTGGATGACTCGGCTACTTCATGTGGCGTATATGTTGGTATTGGGGAAGGCGTCACTACCATTTGTGATACCGTCACCACTACTATCCCAGGTGTCGTCAATATCTTCACTTCTTCCACCGTACTCGTCGTCGAACTCGTCGTCGTCACCCGTTCCCTCTCAACCTCATCATTATCGTGCAAAATCTCGCTATGTTTCTTAACTTGTTCCCAAACATCCTGCGGTATGACCATCTCCTCTCCATAAACCACACTTTTTGGATTCCTCGGCAGGAAGAATTTCCATGTGTAACAAAACAACAAAATAACCCCAAACAACACCAAGGTCCTCAATCTTTGAACCACCATTTTCCTAAATCTTTCTTCCTCCAAATTTCTCTACTTTAATACGCCACGAATAATTAGAAAAGAATGAAAATATAATGCAATCCGATGTCAAAGTGAAAACATCGAAATTGGGATTGGAAAGTCACCATCCCATGAAAACCAAGGTTGGTTTCTTTTAATACACAGCATAAGGTTGGGAAAGTCTACCCCGTACATTTTGTGTGGAATAAAGCACCGGATCCACCGGTGTCGGAGAGTGGAGTATTTGTAGTCGTACTACTTGTACGATATACAGACGGACAGATTGCTCGCCGATGTAATAACCGCTGTCAGCCCGTCTTTTCGTCATTGTAACCAGCTCCTACACAATCCAATTAGGACAAGTATCTAGGTAGCGATATAAAAATCTGCGGTATGTGCAACGAGTAAACATTGCGCATCCAAGATTTACATCATCAATAACTAGATAATTACGATAGACATGACCCAATAAAGTCTATCAGGACCTGCACATGCAAGATTTCGTTCTCATAGAACCATTTACATCCAACTGTGGTTCTAGGTCCTTCCAGGCTAGCACCCTACAAATTCTAGGGTTATGTACCTGGCGCTAATTAGCGAGCCACGCAATCGCAGCCCGAGCCCCTGGCGCCCCTCTAATTTTCACGGTCACGAAACTGCCGCAAATATGTGGATATCGTACCCTAAAACTCCCTGGGAAATCAAGCCTATGACATGCGATGGCAAGCTTATGACAGGCTTGGCACAATATTTATGAGAAGCAACTCACGCTATTTCGTATCAATGCAACAGATGAAAGTCAAAAAGCAAGGTGAATCACTAAAGATATGCTCCACCTCCAGGAAAGTTTGAAGCTCAAATTAGATTTCTCCGATGTACGACTCTGTGATATGTGCTAGTGTGTAATCGTCGCTGGTTTGATTTTCATTGGAGTGTTGATCGATTGTTGGGATGAAACAGAGTGTTTATTTGCGACGAGTGAATGGATGCTAGTATCGAGGCCCATTTGAATCATTTTGCCAATACCTGAAAAGTTAGGTTTTGCATAGTTCAAAAAGAATTTCTAAAATTTATATAATGTATATATAGAAATCTTAGAAAGAAAATTATATAACAAATAACGTGATTTATCAGTGTACGGGTTATATCAGTGTACGGATCACTTTCATTTCAATTTATTCTTTCAAACTTATATTATTCAATAATTATTAAATCAATTGATTAAAATTATGAAAATTATAATAATCTAGGATCTATTATATTATTTTGATAAGTTTTTGTATTATGTTCGATCTTTTTGTATTTATTATAGTATCGATTAGAAAATACTTTTCCATTAGAATTCCTCCCTTTTTAATGCTCATTGTGTTGAATCTAAATATCAATTTTTTATTAAAATAATATATCAAAAGCTTTTTACTCAATAAATACTCTTTCTTAATATAATTAGATTTTTTTATGTATTAATATTTACTTAATATTTTATTCATTATTTAAAATATATAGATTTTTATATTTAAAAGTGTATTCTTATAAATTAATCTTTTTATATTTTTAGTTAGAGTTAGTATAGTTTCAAATATAGGTGTAGGGGAGCTTGATTAATGTCAGGTTATTCGAGATTTTATTAAAGTTAATTGAGAAAGAGTTTTAGTTGGGTTGTTGTTACGGGAGCTGCCTCTAGGGTCACGTGGAAGTGTCTAGAGATCTCTCGAGGTGGTTTAGACTAGACTTCAAGTAGGAATTCAATAAGGTTGTAACTGGTTGCAATTCTCGTAACTATAGTATGAAACTAATGATTGATCTTGAGCACGAAGCTCTACATTGTAATGAAACCCATTCCCTTATATAGACCTTCGTTCTCGTCTGGATAGCTTGAGTAGACTGTCTATCCTGTCTATCCACGGATAGCCTGGATAGCTTGCCTATCCTGTCTATCCATCACGTGACACTTGCCCCGTGACCTATATGATACTACTGCTTATCTAACCTGTGCTTACTAGATAACCTGTAACCGCTATCCCTCCTGTGCCTACTGTAGGATAGGTGCCAACAAAAGATAGGTACCTATCTTTTAATCATTGCTTATTGATTCGGTTACCGCTATCTTTCGTTACCCTTTAATCCAACTGTCCCTACAGTGCTGTTTTCGTAGGTTCCAACACCAAGGCCTTAGGTTTATCTTATAATCCATGTTGCGGTGCGGGTACCTCCGTAACACTAGAAGGGAAAAGATAGACTGATTATGGCATAGGTCTGTTTGTTTTAATCTGTAAAAGTAATTGTCGCGGGGATCATTCTTTGAAATCTAGAAATATGATTGTTTTCTTTTCTCTCCCAGGATGGGGGAAATGGTATCTTTGCTGCGCTATGCTATGATGTTCTACTTATCTATCCCTTGCAAACTTTCTTCTAAAATTATACCTGTACACCCAATCAACAATTTACAATCAAAGATTAATATCTCTCAAACTCCACTGCACTGTCCACTTCAAACAAGATTCCTCTTTATTGCCATCTAAAAATTACTGGCTCTCCTTCCATCTTCGATACGCCTCATCCTCACCCTTCTTCGCGGGCTTCATCTTCCTCAACCTAACACCCCACTTCTTTCTCCACTTGTGTCCTGCCCTCTTTATCCTCTTTCGCGGATAATTAACAGGACTTTCACCACCCGCAAAGATCGCAGCATCATATAAGAATGCCCCGAAGATAGCACCCAAAATCGGCGCACACCAATTACCCCATATCCAATATACATCAGTGAAGAGATCTTCTCCATAGCCAAGTGCTAAGAGCGCAAGTCTTGGCCCCAGATCTCGAGAGGGATTCAAGGCAGCGCCAGTATTGTAACCAAAAGCCATACTGAGAACGGTGATCACGAGTCCCATTACAAAGGCTGACATACCCGCTCCTGGAGGTGCGTTCATGTCGTCTCCTAGTGCTAAGACTGCAACTGCTAGGATTGCGGTTCCGACGAATTCGGTGAAGAATGATGTACCAGCGTTAATCCAGGCATATCTGGGGTATGTAATGAAAGCTCCCATAGTATCGCCGGTTTTCAGATTGGTCCCTCCATATTCGACAATATTGGTTTGATAAAGGCCGAATGCGATTAATGCTGCGATGAATGCTCCTAGTATCTGTGCGAGAACATACATCGGTACTTTGCGGAGAGGGAAACCTCGATATATCCAGAGCATTATAGAAATGGCCGGGTTAAGATGAGCTCCAGAAACACCACCGGCAATGTAGATACCAAGCATTGATGCTAAACCCCAAGCCCAATCGGTAGTAACTTCGTTTCCTGCAGGCGATGAATTTTTGCCTGATGTTACCACCACTAGATCCGCACAAAATCCGAGTGTAAGTTGGCAAGTGACCTGAAAACTTGTCAGCAGGGGAAAGAACTTATTTTCAGTGGAGGACAACTCACGGCTAATAACTCCGCAAGTGGTTCTCTAAATCTTAATCGTATAACGGACCAGTGTGTATGAAGATTGTGAATCTCATCATCGTAATTGGGATCGTACGCTACCAACGGTATCTCTTGGCCAACCCATTCTCCATCTAGGCCATCCGGACCCGCAACTTCCGTTGTCACAGACCCTTGGTCATCGTGGTCCGAAAGACTAGGGAAAGGCTCATTCTGCGAATGTTGCGAATTCTGCGAGGGTCGACCATCAAAAGAGAGGGGAGGGCGTGTTGGAGGGCGTTCTGCAGATGTCGTACCTGCGTTTGTGGGTTTATCGGCTGGGTCCTCTTCTTCAATGACCTGTGACGGAGCAGTCAATGGCTGCTGCTGCGATGTCGTACTTTGTAAATTTGTCGGCGAAACCAACCCATGTGCTTCCATGAGGTTGTTTTCACGTTGTTGTCTAGCATTTTGAAGTGCGGTTGAGATTCTGGACAGTTTGAGGGTTGGTTCGATCCTACCTTGTTCTAAATCTATATCCGCCTGGCTTTGAGGCTGCTGCTGTTGTTGTTGTTGTTGTTGTTGTTGTTGCTGTTGCTGGGCCATGTTGATTTCCGTGCGTGACGGAATCATACCTGGACGTACCACACGGGGTAAAGGCTTGGCCAAACCCCATACCGGCCTCACATTCTCGGGTTGAACATAAGCAGGATTGAGATGGGCGTACCCTGGATCAACGTAGGGTTGGTTCTGCGCCATGGTTTCGATTGGTGCAGGTCCAGCCAATGTAAAGTTATCTCCGCCTCCAACATCGGCTCCCGAGGTTACAGCTTCTAACGCAACAGTTGGTCTTCTTCGGATGGAGGCTCCTCGTTGACGACTTGTTGTGCTCCTGCGTGGGCGAAGACCTGAAGCTTGAGTGCGGTCGGAAACGCCGCTAGGACGAGGTTCTCTCTCCGTGGTAGGAGGAACGGCTCCTCGCTCAGGAATGGAACGCATTCTATCTCCACTTTCTCCAGAAAGAATCGAGGTTCCTCTCCTCAAAATTTGTCTCCTTGAAGATAGATCATTGTTTTGAGGCTCCTGGCCAGTCAGAGTTCGCCCGCGTCTTCGTGTATCTGGTGAAAGTTGATTCCGCCTTGTGGGTAGTGTATCAAACCTTTTCAGAGGCTTGGCCCCCTGTTCTCCCGTAGATTGTGCTCTGCTGGATCCAGCTACTGAACTTATCTCACGTGGCGTCTCCTCTCTCGTACTAGGTAAATTTGGAAGACTAGTCATTCCATGCTCATGTTCATTATTTCGTCCTCCAACAGCTTCTATGCTGCTCGTGGGCTTGATCTCTTCGTCCGCCATGGTTTATGGCTAATCAAGCTCACTACAAATGGAACTTCAGCGTAACGAATGATTTTGCTGTAGCACCTGACTAATGCCGTAAATCGCAAACAAAATAGAGTTTCATAACAATAACATCACTAATGAACGCAAAAAGCAGAAGAAAAGAAGGAAATCCAAAAAATGCAAGTCTGGAAATTGTACGAACCATATGGTATTCCAATTTTGCACGACGGATAGATTTTGGACCGACTTTTTAAACTTTTCACCAAGCTTTCCTGACGCATCAGCGAGGATCTGCCGTAAACCCACAACTTTGTAGACCGAAAGGGCCTCGAGTGCTGTGAGAAAGGGGTCAAGCATCATCGCGAGCGATATCATTCCATGTGAAATCCACTTTTATGAGTATTTATGGAACGTTTATGAGCGAAATCTCGGGAGATTCAAGGAATACTGATGTTGTGAGGTGGTAGGTGGAGCTCTTATTTCGTCAGTTCATCAAAATAAAAATATTCTAGGTCACATATGGAATGGTGTTGTCAGGGGATTAGACAAAGATTGTCGAATCACGTGCTGAGATGTTATCTATTTTGAGATTTGATCGGGAATTCGGAACTTTTGTCGGGGCTTAAGGATTCAAAAAGCATCCAAAAGAAATTTTCAGATCTCAACGTCATTTTATTAGTGCTGAGTGTACTATCTATCTACCTAGAGACAGGAATGCTCTTCTAGCTTTCATTGTCCAGAAAAAAACATGTTTGACGCGTCTTCTACAGACAACTCCTTCGCTTCCGAGCTGTCCGAACTGGCGAGCAACTGACTGGCTAACAACTCGTTGGTGACCTACATGTAGATTGTGCATATTGTGAAACATTGGACCTGCGTTAAACAATCCATTCTCGATCCAATCCATGGCCAGATACCTCGTTACTCATAAATTGTAGGATTACCAATCTATTTTCTCGTATTCCCGCCCGATAGAGATCTTCAAGTCAACCCAACCGAGAGTCGCCGAATTTTATCGACATTAATCGCGCCCCATAACTCCACGATCAAAATTCCATGGCCTACATCATAAGATATCCTTCAAGTTTTCACGAAACACCCACACTCTTACAAGCCTCCACCAAATCGGGTATCTCGTCAGCACTCTTACTCGCAGCACCCCATTTAATGGTCCCCATCTCATCTGTGGCCCAGCTTCCACCCACCACCCATCGATTGCCACTCGGATCAACCTCCCTTCCCCAATTCCCCTCCTGTTTCCCCAGTTTCTGTCGTGCAATCTCGGTCCATGGATTCAGCAAATGCCACGTCGTGCTCACTCCCAATCCCCAATTGGCATAGATTTCCCGATCTTCATCGACGACTACTTGAACTGACCATGCTCCCCCGACTTGCTGCACCCATTTATCCGTTGCTTCCTTAGAGTTGTGAGATATGGCGATGAAATGTAAGTTCTGATGTTTATTGGCTAAGCGACGGAGTTCGATGAAGGTCTTTTCTGCAACTGAATGGGAAAGGGTTAGCCTTCAGGCCAGTCTGATTCTCCGAATTTTGATTGACGAAAACGGGTAACACGGCTCATAAAATCACAATACGACTAATCAAAAAACTCACAAGCACATCCACAGCACCTCAGAAATACGAGCACGCAAGCCTTCCCATCCCCCATGGGCAATATCAATCTCGCTGTGTTTGGCGCTTTCGTTCCCACTATCGGTGCAGGGGCAACTTCTACTATCGCCGGTGGTGGATTTCCCCACGATTTCCAACTCTTTGGGACATTGACCTCTGAGGTCATATTTGAGAAAGTGTCTCCCCATGTGGCATTGCTGTTTCCAGACTTAGGATTGATGGATTTCTGGTCGCCATTATCGAGGTTTGTGATTGAAAAATTGGAGAGAGTGTTTGATGGGAGACCTGCTTTCCGAAGGGCAATCTTGGTGGTAAGTTTACTGAACATTGTTTAGATTGATGAAGGTAAGGCTGTGGTTGGGTGCCGTATAGTGGCTAACGACACTATCGTGGTGGTACAAAAATGATGCAAACTGGATTGGGAATTGAAAGTTAAGAATTGCATGGGGTAGATATATATCCATCCATACATCTCGGCCAACTACAGACAAGTGCAACGAACTCCTTCGTATAAACTCTCAGGCTTGCATGAAACACCAAGTTGTCGCAGGTCCGCTCAGACCTGGGTGTGTTTGCGTTGCTATGATGTCACGTGAGACATTCACGCTTTTCGTCAGTTCAAACCTGGATATCTTGACTTAGTTCGTCCGAGGTGCAGAAAAACCGGGAGGTAATTATCAGCCCAGCTCACTCGATTAGTTAACAGTTTATTGCTACTAGTTTCGACTTATTATGCTTGGCTAGCTCCGAACCAACAAATAGCTGGGACTTTGACGAAAGTGGTCTCGTCAGACTTAAGAGAGATCACTTAAGTCGTAATTTCATTCTATGGAGAGCGGTTTCTCTCCCTTTTCCTAGAATGACCACTCTCGACAATAAATCTAGGGCGTGTGCTCCGCCTTATAAAGGCTCGAAAAGAGAAGTGAGACTCTGCAGAAGGTGTGATGGTAACCCCCGTCAATATCAGCAGGGTGGATTGGAAATTACGAGTTGTATGATATCAATCAGCTGAGAGGATAGGGAACAAGCATGCCCTCTCTCCATTCGAGAATTCCCCCATTCCTAGAGTTCGAGGCAGCTTCATTATATCATATCATGGCTGCATATTTATACGATGCACAATGCAATGATACTCAAAGATTCAACTGCTACATCACATGTTGGAATAGAAATACCTTCTTGATTAGTGTCTAGTGTCTAGTGTCTAGTGTCCAGAAACCCTTCACTACTATTTTTGGTAGTTCGTATCTCAGTACTACCGCAGTGCTTCAGGCTTTTGCAACTTCTTGGCTTCGATATCCACTCTGATTAAATTGTCTTTCGATATATTGACTCTTGTTTATTCATGTATAGGCTGTGTCAATCATGAGAGAACTCGAGCTGATACACAGTGGAACGTGAAGGAACATGTAAACCCATATCAGGCGGCTTAACGGTATGTGAGGTTGAGCAACAGAAAAAAAGTATGTGAGCAGCCGCCTCCTCCTCGGGATTAGCCTTGCTATACATATAAGTAGGACAACTATTGTTACTGTGGCGGTGTGGTCAGAGGCATTAATTAAATTGAGGCGGGCGAAGCCCTCAACAGGTAACAGATTCTCACGTCTGAAGTCTCAAAGTTCACTTCCTTCTTATATCGCTAAATAAAGATCAAAGGGGCAGTCATTTCGAAATCTTGAGATCATGATCAAAAGAACGAAAATATGCCACAGTCACTAGATAGTGTGCTTATGTATGCGGCTGCTTGAATTATGATGGCAACAACAACATACGTGGGAAACTCATCGCATCACCAAGACCGCCAACAGCCCTGCATCATCAAGCGCCTGTTTTTGAAAGTTCATCCCGAGCCTTTTTAGCACCAACACCCTTAGACCTACCAAAATGGCCGACCTGTCCTCAAGCTGCAAATTCTTCCTCACTAGCTACGATATTTGATTCATTGTTAGATGTGGCCTTGTTAGCCTTGTATACGTCGTTTCTTCTTTTCGGACTTATCGTCTACCATGAGGATCAAGTTCCTGTCTCCGAGTACCCGCCTGAGACAGCGGCGCTTCTCGAAGCCGCCAAATATGTACCAGAACCTGGTGACTAATTTGTCGCTTCAGACCATGATTCATTTACTAATTATGGTTTTAGGGTCCAACTGTATTTCCCATTCTCTTCGCTTCTGTCATCGCTCGTGCCACCCATGCAATATTACTCTGGCGCTTGGAAAAAGGAGAGGATATCGGTGTACTCGACGTACTGGCAGGTAGCACTTCTCGTGGTTGAAGTTGCGTATTTTCAGCTTCGTTAGGATACCGTTAATAGTCATTTGGGCATTATCACCAATCGGCGGTCAAGCTTCTTCCAGGCAAATGATCATAAGTAATAAAATACTTCTCGATCCGACACAAGCATATTATATAATTTCGACTGGCAGTATGCCTTTCTTGCAGTTTCTACCTATCGTATCGTGGTTCTCTATCGTGAACGCAATGTTCATGTCATCCGTCATGGGGCCGCCGACTACCAAATCTGGTCCTGCTGATATATGGGGTAATGTCAAGATTCCTTACATCGAGAGGTATGAAAATGGCTCAACGCCTGACAGCAATGGATGGTTTTCAGTCAATTCTACCAACAGCATATATTCATCACTGGTGAGAGTACCAATTTCCGGTCTAGATTCCTCATCTATCGACTCAACTTACGATATGAACTTAGAATCACCATACCTATACCTTGACTGTCCAGTGCTATACGACTCATCCCAGGGGACGCCTGATAATGTAGCGCGCTTTGCTCATAGCGGACCGGATGACAATTTTCCTTTCCGAGGACTTCTCGGCCCCTTGCCCAATGGCGTCGATCCAATTGGGGCAACTGGAAGCGGCGCTTCGATTTGGTCTTTTGACAATAATACTGAGAGAGTCAATTTGGACCCGGCATCTCTTACTCCACGAACGTTTACTTATTTCTCATGGGGACCCACCGCTGGTTCCAACTGCACCATAACATCTACAAACGTTGAAGTGACTGTTACATGTCGCTCATCATCAACTTGTGTGATAAACAAAATACGCCGTTCCAGACTCTCACATCCGCCTCCTGCTTACTCGCTTCTCGAAATTAAGACGAAGCCGTTTCCCAATCCACCAGGAACAAACAACAACTGGTGGCTGTTCTCTGCCCATTTCGTCAACTCAATGAGTGACTATGGAGCATCCGACACTACTGCGGATCAGGAATATTTTTTTAACCTGGATGATCCTCTATCATCTTCCATGGGCATCAATGGAGTGCGTTACAACGCGCCGATCGTTGCCAACGATGTTTATGCCGAACGGCTTGGTCAACTAATGAACACTTACTGGACTTGCATGAATGGGCTGCATACGATTTTCGGTGGCATGACTACAATGACCGCTGTCATGCTAGGTGCAAACTTGAGTGACGAGAAAGTTGTCCGGGTCAACTCCTCGACCACTGTTTTCCGTAACAGAAGTATTGAAGTGATCCAATGTCACATCGGTTGAGTGATAGCTCTATTGGTCGCATCCACCGTCCTCATTCTAGCCTCTCTAGTGAACCCCATCATCCGATGTTTCCTCGCTAAAGGCCCGGACACTGATTCGAATATTAGTAGTTTGGCAATAAGGAATAACTCATACATTACGCTACCTCCCAATGGGACATCTCTAGGTGCATCAGAGAGATCAAGGTTGTTAAAAGATGTGAGAGTTATGTTTGGGGATGTGAATGGCACTGGAGACCTTGGGAAATTGGCGATAGCTAGTTGTGGGAATGGCGAGAGGCTACAACCACGAGTTGTACGTGTTGAGAAGGGGAGGCTTTATAGACGAGCCGATAAAAAACCATGGTTCTACTCCCAGCTGGCCAATCAAATTAATATCCTCTTTTCGTCCTTCCTATTACCTTTTCTTTTGTTGTAGCTTTACTTCAACTCCTTGCTCTCCTCTTCTCTTGGTCTCCATAATCTATACCTCCCAGCCATTCTGTAATTAAAGATACCGGGCAGCTATACACACACTCATGATCTTCATACAGTATTCTTTTGCACCCAAAAATATCAGCGGTAAAATGGTACATAGAGGTCCTCCATCATTCATAAGATTTCCATAAACAACGACATGAGCCAGAGCTTCCAAACAAAACCTTCAAATCGATATCCGATAATAGGAATCGATTACACATAAAGATCAAGAAGGAGACTAACGTGGAAAGTTTGAGTGGAAAATGTATACTGTCGAAGTTGCGCACATAGTGGATGTAGACGAGAAATTTCAGGCCGAATAGTGGGCCAGTGATTATTGTTATATAGCTCGGGGGCTCAATCTGGTGTTAGCATATAAGAACGGTTACTTATGAGTAATCAGTACTGGCGTAGGAACTGGAATTGTCTTAAAGTAGATTGTAAGATGAATGTAAGTAATAAAAAAACGTTTGGGCCTTTGGCTTACCTGATTTTGGCTACTCATATACTGTTCTTCTTGATGAGTTCTTCAAGTCAAATAAATGGTATATATATTTGGAAATCCCCACTAAGAGGGCAGGAGGAACATCAATCATACCTGTAATAACAATAATTTATCTTATCAATATGAATACATAATAGAAAAAGACTCTTTATATGCCCTCAGCAAGTGCAAATGAGGAAGACATACAATCACCCGACCCCATGAATATAATTGCATTGAGTAGGAAAGCAAGCATAGAGAATCAAGCTAGACAATATGATGATTATAGCGCTACATGTCAAATCATCTTTATAATCTGTTAATTCATTAAGCATTCGAGAGCTAGGTGCTGAAATGATATGGGAATCGCGAAAGGGTTGAGCTTGATGTATATCTAGGACATTACATATGTTTTGGTAGGTGAAAATGGGGGAAAAGACAGTAGGAAATTTCATTTTCTTCTGGGAATCTTAAGGATTAAGTAGAAGATGCGGAGATGATGGTATATGGAAATGTTGTAGTGGTATATGATCTAATTGGCCAATCTCTCTGTTACATACATGTAATATCGAAACAGTATTTACTCACCAAAGATCGTAATATTCAGAACCCCTCATGCGGCTCCTCTTAGTCATGGCATACCAAATCGACTTTCAATACTTTTTAACATGAAGTAAAATAGGCGATATATCATTCGAGATTTAAGGAGTTTTCGTTTTGGAATCCACTGCTATAGAGTCTACCGTTCCACTTTGAACAATTGCAAATCAATACTTGATCGTGATACGGATGTATTTTGGGGTATTCTGAAAAATGCTATGACTAAACGTGGCCGCGTGCCTTTATATCCTTTCTATGGAAAAATGATTCATAATTTCAAATAAATTATACGTAGGTTTAAACCTTACATACCTACTCTAAGAACTTCTCCCCTGAAATTAAAAATTAACTCAATAAACATTCAGTGCCTCCCTTAGATTCGCCATCCACATATATGGCTGAGATAACCCATCACTACTCCCCGCATCAAAGTACTCCCATCCATTAACACCTCCAAAATTGGGATATTTATTTCTCAAACTTTTGATCGTGTTCTTAAGCGTACTGATCGGAACCCATCCACTTGCATCATTCCTTGCAGCTGAAGCTAGCATTACTACTCTCGAAGGATCCCAGCCGGCGCCGATAATAGCGTCATAATCATGAGTGCTACCTGCAGATCCCCAGCCATTGGTGAATTGAGCATTGTAAAATGATATCATCGGTTTGCCGGTAGCTGGATCTCGTGCTTGGGCGTCGAGATCAGAATAGGAGAACCCCGAGAGACTTCCGCCATAAGACAGAGCTGAAGCTACTGGTGACATCGTTATGTCAAAGTCGGGACCCATGTCGGTGTAAAGCTGTTTGATTAGACGAAGAGCTACAGTGATATCTACGAATTGCTCAACGTCAATGTCTATACCATTGAGATTGTATTTTCTGATGATATTATTGAGGAGAAGGTCGTAGTATTGGTGGAACTTGAGAAGTGTTAGCAATGCATATAAAGCAGGGTCTGAGTCTCAAGCTACATTATCGTCATCTCCAGTAAAATAGTTCCAAGTTCCTGGAGCAGCGCCACCCATCATACACGATACCTTTATCCCTGCTGCTTGAAGAGCCTCTACCTGATCCCATAACTCATCGTACATTGGAGCATCAGGAGGATCGTCATTTAAATGAATGTCCCCTGGTGTACTCATGACATGCAAGGCAGCGAGGATTACGTGAGTTGGCAGGATATCTTCACCTAATAGAGGCAAGAGAGATAGATTTGTATCTTTATTGTATTCGTCGTGATAAGTTTGAACGTACACAGCAAGCCGTGGAGTTGTGGCTACATCACTGGTAGAGTTCTGAGTAGCTTGTGGAACGATTGGAATCGCTTGAATTAGGGGCAGGAGTGAAACGGAAAGGAGATTAAGAAACTTCATCTTGAAGGATGGGTGATATCATGTCAAGCCATTCAATCAAATGAGGAAATCTTCAACCTTTAAGAATACCTTCACATTTACCAAGTGATACTTTTTGCAAACATGTTGGTTAGATTCCACAGTAACATTGAGCAAGGCTCGTGAGTGACCCCTGTGACTGCAACCATTCATTGGTATCCGTACATCGCCGGCTCTATCATTGTATAAGCGCGCAAGAAAACAGAAAGAAAGCCATCCCCTCCATCGATAGAATGAAATGTTAACTATGAAAATCATCAAATGACTTCCATAGAATACTTCCTATAGATTAAGTCGCACAAATGGGGATTTTAATTGAGCCATGAGGAGGACATCAGGTGTTACCAAGTCTTCTCTTGGTCATCAAATGTTGCACCCGATATCCAAATATCTAGGCATAAATACTGAACAAAGCAAACGAACTGAACAGCATGACTGACTAAGCCGAGCTGTTTCCACAAGATCCGCCGAGACTAATAAGCATGTGTGAGATAAGGTTGCATTTTCGGGGTTTGGGGCTCGATTTAAGGCCAGCGCTTGCTAGATGGATACTACCTTGCCCCTTCTGGCTCTTTTGGGGCAGTATAGAAAGTTCGTGCTCGAGAGAAATGCACGAGAGTGCACAAACTAGTCTCATGCTTCTGTCGCATGTTGGAGATCACTCGTTGGAAAAGACGGTTTTTGATAGGGCTTTGATAGTTGCACCGCCTGATATACACTTTGAGGAAGAATGATCGCTTTTTCGGAAGTACTATCATAGAAAATGCTTGGCAAGGCGCTCATGTGTTGCCTTTATCTCTTGTTGCAACGACACTAGGGCACAGATCAAATTTAGTAGCACCAAAACGAAGTAATAGAAAGATTCCCCACGTTGATTTTGGGTATTAAGGTCCCAGAGCAAACAGTTGCTAGAACGGGAGAACTTGAGCTTGATGATACCAAAGTTGTCGCCAGAGGGGCTTTCATTGGGGATGGGAGAGTTGCTCATTATCAGAGCATTCAGAGAATGCAACCATCTGCTAATGTGATGGATGGATGAAGTCTTTCTCGATTGCTCGAATGAACCGTAGGTCGACAATGAAAGGTGCCAACACATTTCATCTTGTCTCGCAAATACCGTCCGATAATTGCTACAGCCAACGGTGACAACACAACACAAATAGTCTCCCTCATTGTACCAGTCTGCCATGGACAACTTGGTAGATTATGAGAAAGAACAAATTGCATGAACAAGAGATGTTATCCATTGATAGGTGAAAATGGTGAAGAGGAAGAAAGAGAAAAAGAATGATCTCCATAAACTACCCAGCGCTAAAGCTTCGACCACGCTTCCCGCATCCCAGCTACAATCGACTACGTCAAGATCTACATTAGGTCTTTTATATCAAAAAGTATTTGATCCAAGACAACCTCCAACTTTTGTTTATGGACTTTTTAATTCTGCATATTTATCTTTAATTCCCAAACCCCATATCAAAATGTCAATTGATAACGCAAAAGTCTTGAAAACAGAGCCATTGGTAGAGCATTCCCTTCATGCAGTCCGAATGCCTAAAACCTTCTGACTCCATAGCAGGACCCTGCCAAAGCAAAATGGACAAAACTCGTGTTGTAAGTATTGATCTGCTTAATCTAAGCTGCCAGAATCATTGCAGCTGATACCTTTGCGAACATTCAGATCAACGTATCGCGATCCTCGAGGAAAAGTTCGTAATTGGGAACATGCGGAACGATCTACTCGACCGAAATCATCTGAGATAGACGGCGTTGGAATTGTTGCCATAATACAAAAGGAGACCGGTATGTAAAGACATCTGATGAAACTACACTTGGGTAAAAAATCTATGTTAATACCAGTCGAACTCAGGCCCGGAATTAGTATTACAGAAGCAATACCGACCACCGTTGGATAAAATAGTGATCGAAGTACCCGCTGGACTCATCGATGAAGGGGAAACTGCAGAGGAAGCAGCTCTAAGAGAGCTGAAAGAAGAGACTGGCTATGTTGGAGTGTTGAGCGAGAGTACACCCATAATGTTTAATGGTAAACCCCTCTCATTTTGCTTTCACTCACATAGAAATTTCTACTAATATATGTCCTCACAGATCCAGGATTTTGCAATACGAACCTCAAAATGGTGCATGTTACGGTTGATATGTCCAATCCAGCCAACCAGGACCTAGTGCCCGAACTCGAAGAGAACGAATTTATTGAAGTATTCACTTTACCTCTGAAGGATCTATGGGAGACGTGTAAAAAATGGGAGAAAGATGGATATGCGATAGATGCCCGAGTAGGAACGTTGGCTGAAGGCATTGAAGTTGCTAGGACACTGAATTTATTCTCAAAATAAGGCACGAGAACGAAGTTACAATAGATAGATGTACATAATAATAATAATAATATGCGGTACACGTTAGTGTTGATACATATGTAGGAATGCTGCTTAGGAATTCAAGGTAATGTCGTTTAATTCAGAAGCAATCATTTCGTGCATGTGATTCTAAAGTTTCATAGCTTTCCTGTTCGCTTCAATCCGTCATAGAGAGCCCAAGCAGTCAAAGCCTTACTATCCCTCGCGCCCTCCTTCCACAAATCCTCCAGCTTCACCAGTTTAAGTGTGATCTTCTCACCATCGTCCCTCAACCCCGTAAGCTTTCCCGTAGTCTCCTTCAACTCGTCTCTTGAGATCTTCTTCTCATGCAAGAAGACTTGGATATACTCATCACAGCCCCCGGCACTAGGAAACATTGCCCTCGGTAACACTTCTCCCTCTTTGTTCTCTCCGTCATCAATAGCCAGTTCGCTCAAGTTAGTCAATTGATTTGCCGGTATTGTCCAGCCCAGCTCCTCTTCAATTTCCTTTGCAGCTGCCCCTTTAAATGTTCCATCATCAACCATACCGGCTGGTAACTCAATAAATGCTAAACTCCCTGAAGCAGGTCGAGGTTGAACAGTCATTACAACCCATCTTTCCGCGTCAGGTTTCTTGGCATCTTCAGGTTGAACAATGACCATCATTCCAACACTTGGGCCTCGGAGGAAGATATCCCCGGGCAAAGACTCGCCTGCTTCATTTGTGATTTTACTGCTGATCTTGATAAAACCGATGCGCTTGCCCCAGCGGTCGAGTGATTGAATCTTAACAGAACGGAGCTGATAGGGGTCGGAATGGAAGGGATGATCAGAGGATTTACCTTGTAGAGCGAGAGATTCCGTTAGGCGATTATGCCATGACTGTGAAGGAAGACAATGTTAGTAGATATCGCAGGGATGGTAATGGAAAGAGGGGGGCAGTGATGTATACTTTGAAGGCTGGAAAATTCAATAATTCATCCTCGGTGATACCTTCACAAAGTGTAACCTCCACGTTACTGTCTTTGATTTGGAAAGTAGACATTTTGATAGCAGTAGTTTGGTATCCCTTGTAATGGAATCTGGAGAACGGTGGAAATAGCCTTGTGAGGATGAGTGATGTAATTGAGGATTTCAAGATGATTTTATGCATACGGAGTACAACCTTTGTACTTTATAGCGACTATTAGTCTGCATGTAAACCGAACCATTACTACAAAATCTGCCGAACATATTGGGTGAAATGTAATGATCGATGATGCCCAAGCAAGGAAAGAGATAGTAGAATTGATGTACCTCATAGGTGGTGAGTAGCCTTGCAGCCTCTCCATGCGCCACCGAGGCTGTGGCTGTGCCGTAACCAAATATGCCCAATCCTCTTCAATTAATATTTCATCTTCAGAGTACCTATAGCCATACAGCATTTCCGTATCATGTTAATACCATTGTGTGTCTTAAAGTGCTATCGCATTGATACCAAGACTCAGAATATACAGCAAGACTAGATCCAATAATGATTGGGAAATCGCCGCCTGTCTCACTCCTACACCCAATGTGAAAATTCCACAGCTTCTCAATGCATCCAGCTATTGCGCCTCGCCCCTTCCATCATGAGGTCAGAGTATGGCCAAGTCCAACGATGAAGGGGTGGCCTTCGCTTATAGTAACTCAGTGCCATAGTTGGCCACTTGTTGCTTTAGTATTGTTGCTGCGTGGGCCAACATAAATTCCTATTATTATACAACTTGCTTCGCTTTTTATAAGCCAATTTCGAGAGCTCAGGCGCGGAAACCAGATGATATGATGTAGTTCATGTTTGATTTAGGACCGGAGGATTGATTCTTTCGTGATTCGAGGCTGAATCTCCTAACAAGACAACAGTTGCTGATATTTGTATCGCAATGTAAGTTTGAAGGCGGCATGGGCGGCGCAAGCTTCTCTTGGATACCATAAACACCTTGTAGTCTTCCATTTTCTTTCTTTCTTTCTTTCTTTTATCGGGTTTGGTTATTTTATTCATTTTCATTCTAGCAAATTTGCTATATTTCATGATGGCTGCATCAAAGACTTCAAAGTTACGAGTGGTATCATTAATTTTAGCATCCCTCTTCATTCCTCTTGCATCAGCAGGCTCTAACGCAATATCTCTTCAATGGTCAAACAGAAGTTATGGCCCTGACGGAACATGGCAAGCAGTTTCTATTGATATCGGTACACCCACTCAAGCTATCGACCTCCTTCCAGGTGGGACATGGACAGCTAATATCCTAAGAACTTCATTTTGTTCTAATTTCTCAGGTTGCTCATCATCGAAAGGTGGACTTTTCTATAAGCATGCTTCCACTTCCTACCATGAAATCAATAATACTGGTGTCACTGCTAATACCACTTTCGCAAACCGGGCCGGTGCATTACCCTTTTTATCTGGCGCCGCTTACATAGGACTTGACAATTTCCAATGGAACCGATAGCAAAACTATCGAGAATTTTGAACTGCTTTTCATTGAGGATTGTGTCCAAACTTTGTCAAATGGAACAGCATACGCACCTCAAGTCGGGACCCTTGCTCTAGGTGCCCCAGACATTAATCAGACATTCTCTTCAAACCTTACCGGGCAGTTTCTCTCTTCTGGCTTGTACTCCCAAGCTAGGATTCCGTCGAATTCATTTGGCTTGCACATTGGTTCTGCTTCATTGGGTATTCCTGGGAGTTTGGTCCTCGGAGGATACGATCAATCTTGAGTTTTGACGCCTGTCACTACGCAAAAGGGCTACAATGGTACACTTTCCATGCCACTAGTTGACATTTCAATCGACACTATTGATGGATACTCTCCTTTGAACTTCAATACCACTAAATCTAGACTTCTCTTCAATAATGCAACTTCAGCCGCATCTAATGGCTTACTAGCAGTGGACATTGATCCTTCAGTTCCATATCCCTACCTCTCAACATCAACTTGCGATATACTTGCCTCTTACCTCCCCATAACATACAACGAAAATCTAGACCTCTACCTCTGGAACATCACATCTCCACTCTACAAGCCCATTATCTCATCGCCTACCTACCTCGCCTTCACATTCTCTAACCTAGACTCAGACAATCAAAATGCTCAAAACTCAATCAAAATTCATTTCTCGCTCCTTTCATTTTCGTTAACATCCCCCTTTTCTAACACTTCTGATCCCGTTCCCTATTTCCCCTGCCAACCATCCTCGCTCCCCTCCGGCTCTTGGGCTCTCGGCCGTGCATTTCTCCAAGCTGCTTTCTTAGGAATCATCTGGACTGATTCATCAAATATCACTTCTTCCAAAGGCACTGCATTTTTTCTAGCTCGAGCGCCGGATCCTGGTATTCCCGATGAAAAATTAGTTGACCTTCAACCTGAATCTACTTCCCTCGATGCCTCGACTACCATTTGGAAAGAAACCTGGTCGTCTCATTGGATGCCCCTCACTACGCCTCTAGATCTTTCCTCGTGGCAATCCTCCGCCCCATCCTCGTCATCTTCGTTTTCCAACACAGGACTACCTACTGCATAAATGGTAGGAATCTCCGTCGGCAGCGCCGCAGCTTTTGTTTTCCTTTTAGCGGCGATTTTCTGGATTTGCAGACGCAAAGCCACCATAGCACGAGCAAACAAGGAAAAAGAAAAGGAGGAAGCGATTTCACGGGAAATGGAAAAGAAGGAGAGGGGTAGGCAGGGTATCGATTGGGGTAGGATTAAGTTGGAAGATGACCCTTGATTATGTGATGAACTTGTGCGAGGGAATATAATGGAAATATCATAGGAGTTTTAGATTTAGCGTTGGGATTACATTACTGTCACTATAACAAAGCTTGTTTGTGTTTGACTGCAAGCCATAACTTCTCAGCCGTCCAGTTGCATAAAGATGAGTGTGCGGTGCTAGGCAAAATAAAACTTATGAAATACGGAGGGCATTGTTCACATGATTGGCGAAGCTTGCATCCTCAAAGGATTTTCATTTTGCATTTTGTACATTCATCTTCCCATCCACGTCTCCCTTTGCGGTATTAGATAGAGCCTCCCAGCCACGGATGCTTGATACAACCTACCACGGCACAGCCTTTGGTCCCGTAACATCCCGCCACTGGCCATCCGTCTTCACTTGTTCCTTCCTTGTCTCCCTATCCTCTCTTTCAAGCCTATCCGCCTCCTCTTCAACTTTCCTCTCCCACCTCTTCCCCATCTTCGTCTTACTAAACCCCCATTTCCCTACCCACCACAAACTACTCATTCCCAAAACTCCTATGACTCCCGTAGGCGCAATAACCCATCCTATCCCTGTCGCAAAACTTCCTATAGTAGTAGCAGATAAGGCTGCAACGATAGAACCCACAGCTGCGTACTTGGCATACCGGATAACACGCCAGAATATAAAGACAGTTATGGAGTGGAGAGCCCGGAGAAAAGCGCGGGTACGAAATCGAACGGGTTTTGGGGAGGTAGGAGAGCCGGGAGAGATAAGGTATTGGATGTTTTGGGTGATGGAGGCAAGAGCGCTGGAACTTCGGAGTTGAGCGGTTCGTTCTGTTGCAGTGAGGGACTGAGATTGGGGTGAAGTAGATGGGAATGTAGGTTCATCAATTGTTTTGCCCCTTGATGGCGACATGCTTGCGGCTATATTACAGGGAGGTGTTTTCTGGTGGTTGTACCTATTTCCATTGAAAATGCAGCGGCCTTTTGTCGTGATGGCTAGGCTGATGGTCTGTGCGCTCACGACTTTTCTAAACCTCACCTCCAATCTTTCTCACTCTATATGTTCCTGGCGATATAAGATATCATAAGTACCGGAATCTGTTTGTTGATCCGTATGATATCAGTCCTTTGAGAATGAAAGCAAGAGGCTTACGCATTACTGCGGGTGCGAGCTGGAAAATTCTTCAAATCCGAGAATCTATCGCTAGATGAGGCTTCCAGCTGCGGTCAACGACGGAAATAGCGGGAACCTATTTGAACTACGCAGCGTGTAGAGTATCAAGTGAACGAAAAACATGTTGCTATCATGCTGTCTGTACTTCGCGGCGAATGCAGGTTAGAATAGACTGGGCGGTTGACAGATCGCCATCTACTTGCCTTTGTGAGCTTTGAAGAGCGCTGTAATTACTTCCAGTTGATTCTCGCAAATGTTGTTGAGCTGTCATATGCCAATATCCGGATTTGCGGACTCTGCAAAGCTCTAGACTATTGTGAATCCTACACGATCGCATACATCAGACGAGAGAGGGCTGAGAAACAAGACATGCAGAGCACTGACAAGGAGAAGGCCGATGATAGAATTTGATGGAAACCGGACTACGTATACATCAAATGTTGGAACAAATACTGACAAACAGGGCATTCTTTCCTGGTGATGAGACTTCAAGAGAAATTGAATCTCTCTTTATGCTCCTGTTTCTGTCTCGTCTCACATGCGAACACAGAATTGCGAGGAAACTATTCACGGATTACAGTTGGACTGCGGCCATGACTGAATTCCCAGCAATACGGTCATTAGTTGGCATCACGGCCGTGATTTGCAGTACGGTTCATAACATCAAGGCTATAATTACCTCTTTAACTTTCAGGTTATTCTACCTACAATCATATGCAAAGTGCAATGAAAGACGTTTCCATTGCCAGCACAAAGATGTCTGAAGCCGATCATTTAAAGCGCAAGGAACAGCGAAACTCCGAGCATACCAACAAAAACACAGGCTCGGACGCCTCACCATTGCCGCCAAGGAATGATAGTACACATCGGCTAACCAAAAGCTCACGGTCAAGCGAACAATTCCTCTTGGGGTCCCGGGAGCGTGAAGTCGAACAAGCCCATGAGGAAGATACAGCTGGGTGCTTGTGCCTCAGTCTCGCAAAAGTTCCGCATTTTCATTGGTCAAAGTATTACTTCCTGATTCTCTATTCATGCATTTGCTAAGTTTTGTAAGAAAAAAAGAACGACGACTGGCGGGGGATCAATTTTCACACGATCTCTGGTACAAACCACGCGAGGAACTTGACGAATCACCCCCACACAAGGGATGCCCCGGTTGTAAAAGTCTTTGCAAATGCCCTGGAGCATGGAGATGGTGGCCTGGATGGGGTGGCAATTGAGAATATCAGCTGGTTGTAGTACCTGATCATACTATTTCCAATAGCATGATAAATTACAAAGCAACTACTTGAGATTGGCCTTGAGAGGCGGAGCGGCGGGGCGGAAAAGCGTACGTTACATAGAACAGCTACGTACTTGAGGATGGGTCCAAGCAATGCCCTCGGAAGAAGTTATCAAATGCACATACAATGCCCGTCTAACTTGAGCATCATGCATCGTGTGAACAAAGTTTATTCCTAAATTTAGCACTCCTGTATGACAAATTGATAGTAGATAGAAATCAACCTTGTGGAAAGAGATGATCGGAGATCAATCGTCAGGTGAACACAGTCAGAACATTTTGAAACCTGTACCCTGTGCGTTGTTATTTGTACAGCACGCATATAATTCATAACTCATCGGGAGCCACTTAACGGCTCGGTACCCAAGCCTTTCAACACTGTAGTCCAATCACCGCTTACCCACTGGGTCCCTTTCTTTAGCGAGTGGACCACGTATATAAACAGCATCCCCTTGCAAGAAAATCGTTTAGAAAACTGAAACCGTGCAACAACGATTTCGACACAATGCATTCTTCTCAGCTATCCAAAGATCATCTCTCGAGTGTTAAATCATGACGCATACAACTCATAAATTCCAAGATGTTCGCTCTCAGATTCAGAAGTGCGGGGAAAGAACACCTGACAGGCAAGGGATGCACGAAACTTACTCACATATTTTCCCCGCACATGATTCACCACCATCTTGACAATCCACTCATCCCATAGGCATGATTCCAGGAGTCAACCATTTTGCGACAGCAACGACGACCACGATATGGCAAAATCATGACACGAGTATGGGATTCAAGGAGCTCCGGAGAGCATCGCCATGTTCATCGCTACGTCAGCTATACATTGAATCTCAGCGCGGGAACTGCGGAGATAGGTATACACCAACTTTACGTCGTGTCAAGAGTTTTTACAATCCACCCAAGGACTTTGCGCTTGTTTTTGCAATGTCGTTTTTGAATCACAAAGATTCGATGGTCGAGGTAAAAATTGATACGTCAAACTTTGTGATTACAGTTGAAGTACCTTTGCGAATACATAATCCTTACCAGTCAGTGCCGATGGGTAAAATTCTAGAGAGGGAGGAGTTGGAGTGTCCGGAATGCGGTAGAGAATTTATGGGGGAGTATGGAGTGGAGGATCTGGCGTGGCATTTCAATAATGTGCATTGGAAGAGGAGGGTTGAGAGAAAAAAATGCTTGAGTATGGGTTAAGAAACTGGTAAAACGAATCGACTACTGCAAATGAGTGTGGAACCATGAATTTCAGAATACCTTGGATCGAGATTGACCTTCATAATCAGTGGCTTTTTACGATTTTACTATCTGAAACCCTGACCTTGAGAGTTCACTTCTATTCTCAGGAATAGAAGGCACGAATCTTCGTCCTTCGCACCTGTTATCAGTGAAAGTACCTCAGAAACGTCGATTTGACGCCCTAAATCCGTTCACTCTTACGGCAGCTTACATGCATACCAGATCCATTAATATAGTTGAATGGTTTAGGTTCAATTGTATTAGGTTTGATGTCAATTACTGAACAGTGTATCCTTTCTTACACAAGAATACCGCACCTTGAGAGACTTTGATCTTGCAGAAGACGGCCAATATACGACCATGTACAGAAATGTCGCATCTGCTCTTGCTGAAAAAGAAATGCAGCATCAGTCAAATTTTGGTGAAACGATGGATGATATTACGGGTGAGGATAGGCTAGATGAAGGTGTCTCTGAAAAACGATGTAGCCGTTCAGGCTGTCCCCATCGAATCAAAAAAGATGGTTTCAATTGCAAGGAATGCCAATCGCAGATATATTGCAGTATGTATTTCCGTGATTAGCCGAACACCGAAGCTGAACATCTTTAGGTAACGTATGCGCAGAGAGACATTGGCCGGAACACAAACTTACTTGCGAGTGCCTTAATTATGTTTTGAGCATCGATATGTATCCCCAGAGATATTACAACTATCGGCATGGTCGTATCATGTCCTGTCCAGCAAGAGCCACTTTTGAGGACCTTTACCAAGCACTCAGCCTCTCCCTGCCATGTCTTCGACCTATATACCACTTTTCCATCTTTGACATGGGCCAGATAAAGAGGTCGATCAGCAGTCTTCCACTACCTGATAAAATTATTACGGAACCGAAACCAGACTATAGTGTATTAGATCGTCGCCCTGATCTACGGCCATTACAAGAAGACAGTCGACGGACATCTCTTATTGATATTTTCTGCGAATATCCATATGAACAGAGCCAAAAGGTTATTCACTACACAAGTCGAGACCCCAGGACTCAGAAAGCCTGGCAGTATATGATCTTATTCATGGAAAGAGCACCAATCTCTCCATTCCTGATTATTTGGAGTGGTGCCTCTCGATGTATAGAGGATTATGGCAAAGGTCAAAATTGTGTGACCTTGAGACTTGCATATGAAGCCTCTGAACCGACAGAAGAACAGAGAAAATTGCTGTCTTGGTACGAATTAATCGAAGACTCGAAGGCTAGCGGAGAAAGAATCAACCAAGCTCTGAGCCGTATCCGAATTTCCACGCGTCCCTCCAATACCCATTCTTCGCATAACGAAGCAGAAGGCTTTTCCTAGTTGCAAGTTATGATTTAATCCAGAACAAAGGAAAGGGAAGTATTCAGATTTCATTTTAGTCTGGCGAAGAGAGAGCGAGAGAAAGACGATGCAAATTCAGCTTGTGACGGTGATAACTTGAGTTGAGTACTTCGTACATGCAATCCTATTTGGATCAGTGAAATGATGATTTCAGGCACAACTGTCAATTGTACAAGGTCTATGATGTATATATAGGATATGAAAACTTCAGAGGAGCAAGAGCATTCAGTAAGAGTCAATATACACAGCTCAATGAAATCATTCCATTCCATTCTTACGTCTTGTTTAAATCCTACCTTGATCAAGAAGGTGTAGAACAAAGTAGATTGCTGGTCGTTGATTGTTCAATTGGTAGTTCTACATCGCCAAATTTCATTAGAGCTGTAGAGCAAGGTTGTTGAGGAAGGTGTATCCTAAGAGCGGGGTGAGATTTACTGAGAACCACGTGGACGTCAAGTTCAACTTCAATCCTCCACATAGACACTTAAAAATTCTCGGATGTGATCACTACTTTGCACTCATTAATTATTACCAACACGCTTTGAGCGGGTCTCGAGTATGGTAAACGATGACGAGAAACCAAAATACTTTTCCATTGGATTTTTAACCTCTGGGTTGCGGGTGGGTTTTCGTTTTGAGTATCTGATCAAAGTGGGATCTCAATGGTATCTTCCTTGACATAGTCCTCCATTTTTTTCTTCTTCGACTCTTCGATCATGCCAGAAGCTTGTGTCCACTCTTTTATATTGAACTGTTGTAAATCGTAGTTAGTAATTATTGGCAATCTACGAAAGATTCTGAAGGGGAATGGGGAATCAAGGGTTTTTGTGGATTTGAAGAAGAAGCAGTCGACAATAAGATTTCGTATCGGCGAACAAAGGTGGTGCCGAAAACTGTTGGATTTCTTTTACATACCTTACCTTCGCACTCATTGTATGAGATGATTACATTGAGAGCGCTTGAAGAGCTCTTCTTTCGTTGAACTTCAACCATTTCTTGGGTAATCTGAAATGTGACGATGCGAATGACTGTTTGCATAGATTAGTACCGCAGTTGATACAAGCCAGTAAGAGCGCTCTGTAACTTACATGTACGGATGGTTTTTGTCTCTGGTGAGTATTCGTGTCGGATCAAAATTATGCATTGCGAAACGTCGTCACCAGTTCTGGCCCGGGTCTCAACTGCCGTAGTGAGAAATTTGAATACTTTCTCTAGAGCGTCATATCCACCAGCGGGCAAAGAGATAAAGCCCTCTAGTATAGCACCCGCGAGAGCGGCGTGGAAGGTTTTAGGTGACGTACTGATATTCTTGGTCTTGACACAACCCTCGGACACTGCCAGCCTGGTTGGTTTAATTAGCACGGGCGTATCACGACCATGATAGCCATCGGGGGAGCCTATCTCACCAGGGAGTCATCTTCATAAAGCATTCAGTTAATTGAGCGCAGTGACTAACCCGCTTTGCCACAGATTCTATAGAAACGTCCAGAAGCAAATTAGGACCGGCATAGGTGGCGTTCCAGCATCTATAACTGGCCCAGCTGCAATAATTGAAGATGCTTTGCTCATTTTTGAACGAAAGTTCAAGAGCTTCGTCTAGGATATCCTTATGAAAGCTGATGTATTAGACAGCCGCTCCAAATTCCCGATCTTTCTCAGCCTTCTCGACAACCCCATCTAGGTCCCCTTCATCAACTTGAAAATTATCAAAGTCCAATTGAGGAGATGATAGGGTAATGGGCACCTTTTCGTCAATCACTGAAGACATGATATGATGAAGGCGATGAAGATATCTGTTGGCTCTTGTTATGGAATTGTAAGAGTGAAATGATTAGACTGAACTCAAAAGCTGGAAATGACACCCTTTATATTCCACGTTTCAATGAATAACGTGGCATCCGACAAACGCAGAATGATGACAATCCTCCACGCAGCAAGACATTAGACTTGTGCTGATAGCTGCAGCTCATAGCTGAACAATACATGTCCAAGACAGCACCCTAATGTTACTGGGCCAATTTTGTGATGAATGAAAGGTTTGCGAGAAGAGGGGTAGCCGGGGTAGGTCCAATCACAATGAACCACATGAACTCTGATCAGACAACTAGGAATTCTGCATGTATATTTCACATCAACCGGGTTTCGGTAAGATACCAAGATGCATTGATCTACATGTGCAGAACACATACTAGATTCTGGCAGAATGAGGGGGTTGGCTGGGTTGTGAGAGCCGGTACTCGGTCAATCTAGCTCGACATTATATGCACACCAAAACCAAATGCCTTTAGTCGATATTTTAATTTCAAACTCGAAAAAATGTTATTCAAGACCTTGTAATTTCATCAAGTAGTCAAGTGGCAATCATGTCATAGTATTTTGAGTCTGGGCATTGATCGTGCACGGACCAATGCGAATTGCAAACATTAACTTGACGATATCATGAATCCGGATACTTTGGAATTTTCTATGAATGATAAAATAAGCTAAACCACGGGATGTAGGGTTCTAAAATAATTGTCATACCAATTTGCGGCGTCATATTATGTCAAAAGTCTCAAAGTGAGGCTAATATTACAAAATCGATGTGAGAGTACAGCTCTTAAGTCAACTACCCCACTTTCCGACCACCCCCTCTTTTCGACCACCTCAAAAACCACACCGCTTTGAGTAATTATAAAATTTATACTTTGAATAACTCAACAATGCTTTAATCAATTGATTTGAAATTTTGATATTATTATAATTGTGATATGAAGAATAGATATACCGAAGAAGATATCGCAGAGGCTCTTAGAGCGATTACAAATGGAGCAAGCATACGAAGAGCTAGCTTGGATTATGGTGTTCCACGTACCACACTTCACGATCGAATATATGGTGGAGTTTCGCATCAAAAAGGCGCCCAAATACTTCAAAAGTTATCTCCAATTCAGGAGAATCGACTAGCAGAATGGATATTAGTACAGGAAGCTCTTGGTACTAGCCCTACACATCGTCAAATCAGAGAGATGGCAGAGCACCTCCTTATTGTACGAGGGGAGGATCCCTCACTTGGAAAGAAATGGATACATAGCTTTTTTCGAAGGCATCCTAATATTGGAACTAAGAAGCAACATCAAATCGATTCTGCACGAGTTTCAGGTGCTACATCTGATATTATTAAGAAGTGGTTCCGGAACCTCGCAATCCCTGAAATCAAGGCTATTAAGCCGGCCAACAGATAGAATATGGATGAAGCAGGTATAATGGAGGGTCAGGGTCTTAACGGACTAGTAGTAGGAAGCACTGATCGAAGATTTATTCAAAAAAAGCAACCTGGATCTCGAATTTGGACCTCTTTTATAGAATGCATTTCAGCCAATGGAAAAAGCATTACTCCCCTTGTAATATATAAGGGAAAATCAGTTCAACAACAATGGTTTCCAACAGATTTGACTCTATTCAAGGGTTGGAACTTTACCGCTACAGAAAATGGATGGACTACAGATGCTACAGCTTTAGAATGGCTGAAAAAGATCTATATCCCTCAAACTACCCCTATTCAGCCGGAAAATTCAAGACTCCTCATTTTGGACGGACACGGAAGCCATGAAACTACAGCATTTATGTTAGAATGCTTTAATAACAACGTATATCTCTTACTTCTCCCACCACATACGTCACACGTACTACAACCACTCGATTTATCTGTGTTCTCACCCCTAAAAAGTGCATATCGAATCGAACTTAATAAATTAAGTCTATTATCCGATTCCTCACCAATTGGAAAGCGCAATTTCCTTTCTTGCTATCAGAAGGCTAGAATAGAAGGTTTAACTATTCAAAATATCAAGTCTGGGTGGCAAGCTAGTGGTCTTTGGCCCAAAAATATGGCTAAACCTCTTATGAGTCGACTTTTGCTTGAAAATAGCAATAGAGAGGTTTTATCACTTAATCCTGAATCTGATGATGATCCTATTCTTCAATGGAATATATATTCATCGTTTATTCAATGGAAAACCCCTCAAAAAGGAGCCGATATCAGAAAATATAGAGATATAATGATTCAAGAGAAGGAGATCGATTTGCCAACACGAAGATTACTATTTCGCAAGATTATAAAAGGATTCGATGCTAAGGATTATGAACTCTTAGAGGCAGAGAATAAGATTAGAAAGCTAGAATATCAATTAGATGAAGCATTACCTAGAAAAAGGCGAAAGGTTGTGGTATCTCCAAATTCGAAGTTCGCAGGGATTAGAGCTATAAGGCGTACACAAATTGAAGCTGGAGATCGTGAAGATGAGGTAGATGATAGCTCTAGTGCTATAGAAAGTGATTCTACAGGCGATTTCATTGAAGTTCAATAGTTATTGAGTTATTAAAGTTTTAAGTGTAGATAATATGAATTTTTTAGGTGGTCGGAAACAGGGGGTGGTCGGAAAGTGGGGTAGTTGACTTATTGTTTGTTTATTATACAGTCAAAAGGTGACACTTGAAAGATTGGCATATGAGCTTTGGAACCCTGGCGGGATCTTCTTCTTTGAGCAAAACGAGTCAAGCATAAATCATTCAAAGGATGGTATAGTGGTTTTTCTGTACTCACATACCTATCCCATGTGAACAACTTGATGCGGTGCACACCCACCTAACAGTTCTCCACCAATGAGTATGATATTGGGAGAAATTCATTCTTCAATATGATGGTTAGGCTCCTCTGAAATATTGTTGGTTGATAGAAAATGATGCATTTGATCTTGAATGTGGTACCTCACCATAATCAGGGATCCCTCACCAAAAAGAAGTGTTAAGCGGTATTGTGATTCTCACTATTCAAGATACCACAGGTCTGCTGCCATGCATCGTGGTATTCACACTATAGAAATTAGATTCAAATCTGCGGCCGTGTGGGCAGGTGTAGCTCTAAGGCGAGGTCAGTTGACAATGGTGCAAAATAAGCGCGGTTGATCAGGAAGCCAACGATCACAAGAGTTCCACTAAAGATAGATGGATATCGTATAAGAATCATGCCAAGTAGCCTTCCCCAATTTCTTCCATCGAACAAACTAGCTCCTGCGGATTACTTTGGTATGAGCATTTAGGTAGAACCAGAACTCCCATACAAGTTGTCCCCTGGTAGTAAAGTGAGACCAGGCGAAGAGACCGAAAAGGTTTTCAAGCAAGCACTAAGGGACAGAGATGTTCAATATGTTTTCTTCGTCAACCAAATTATCACAGAAAAGAGTGAGCGTATGCTGGACAATCTCAATACAAGTAACTATGATGCCTCTACCTGGGTGAAAACACGGTACCAAAAAGGTCAGGAAGGGCAACTTGCCCCAGGGCGAATTATTGGACCCCGGTTTCGAACGCAGATCGCGTCGAGCAAGACTCTTGGACTGTTTGTAGCCTTACTGCCCCATGTACTAACATGTATCATTGAGATTCGAGGACCACGAATTGAGATTTTTCGAAAATCAACGATGCTTGCCACTGACGAACAATACACAAGAACGCTCCAGAATACTGTAAACACTAGCAGGGTTCGTCGAAAACTGTTTCGATCAAATAATGGGCAGCGTGATGTTAGCAGTCTAAAGTAGCCAGGTACCAAGACTAATCGACCAGAGAAAGGCTTAGTATTGTTTGAGATTCATAACAGACTCTGTCGACCCCCCAAAAATAGTGAAACACCTATTCAGATGGATCCAGATTCAATGAACTCCAGTGTGAAGTGGTTGCAGGACGAGGTACTACCCCACGGTAGTCAGTAAGTCAGATAGCATATCATAGTAATCAGCTAAAAAGAGAGGACGTTATGGATGAGATGATCTCATAGATGTTGGATGTGCTAATAAAGTTTACGAAAGTACAAGAATCCCAGAAGCTTTTTTGAGATCTAGGGTAGTTTTCAGAAGCAATGTATTACGAAAGATTCCCTTTCATCAAAGCTCTGAAACAAAAGAGATTTCGGGGGAATTGGAATGGGTCTCTTTTTTCGCAGGCAAAAATCAATAACAAGGACTCGAATACAACGAATTGCGATTGGTTACAAATACGAACCGTCAAACATGGTCTAGCCAGCAAAGCTGTAAGCGACGTTCCGATCTCAGCACGTGTTGATCAGAACGGCTCGGGTTCGTTTACCGAGCTTGCTGATAGGTTGAGATAAGAGAAAGAACGGATACTTGGAACCGCTTAAATGTGAGAAATGAAATTTGCTGGCGGAGCTGCCTAGCAAGCCCGACAAGGCGAAACTTGAAGTTTTCATTTTCATCTATGCCTTGTAGCTTCTTATAACGATCGAATTTTGGAGGAGCGAGTAGCTTTATTATAGCTGATCATCAACTTTGGGAAACTACTAAACATCATTTTAGCCGAGATTCTCTTCAAATCCGAACGAAAGAAGACTCTACCATTCCAACAAAAAACCAGATACGGAGTAGATGCCGCTATTCCCATTGCGCTAGTCAGGACTGAGTAAAACTTGACGATTGGACCCATGCTTACTCCGAAATCCCATCTCATTCCTCCACTTACAAACATGGGCTTGTTCCCTCAACAAAGCGACCGCAGTGCTGTCTACAAACCAATTAACATATGGAAAATGCTGACAATTCCCTTGTAAGTTCATCTCTCTTTTACCGTGAAAGTATCTGATATCATTTTTGCCTATAAACGGAAATGGGAAGCGTTCTTCACGCCGTGTAAGATTTTCTTACTTGTCATTTTCGTCGCACCTTTACATCTTACATCTTTCTCGTATATCGATATTTTCCAGCCTTTCACTTGTTGAGTCAGTCCCCGGACACTCTTTATCGTTTGGCTTTCTATCATCTCATAAACTGAGGGACAACCTTCATCGAAATTTTATCCTCGTACCATCGCCACCATGAATTCCCTTCTAATGCTTCTCCCTCGAAACAAACTCGATAGATTTGCGGATTGCACAGTCGACACATGTCCAATTTCTACATCCTATTATTTCTATCGTGTATCAATTGGCGCAAATGCCGCTTTTCTCGCTCTTTTTAGCATTTCGTTTCTTGGATTTGTCTTGACATATGCATTCACTCGTCGCGCAACCGCCTTCACATTCGCTATGTGCGCCGGTGTTATACTTGAAGTAATCGGCTATGCGGGTCGTATAATGAGTTGGGAGAATCAATGGAAACAAGATGGATTCTTAATGCAGATTGTTTGCTTAACAATCGCACCGGCATTTATGGCAGGAGGAATCTATTTGTGCTTGAGAAGAATCGTATATGCTTTTGGACCTGAAAATTCAAGGATTAGTCCTGAAGCTTATACCAGAATTGTATGTTCCTGAAACATTTTCACCATTCGTCTTAACATATCAGCCTGATACTAATTATTCCATAGTTCATTCCATGTGATCTTATGTCACTCCTCCTGCAAGCTGCAGGTGGTGGTTTGGCATCCGCCGCCTCACACTCAGGCAAATCCCCAGATATTGGTGATAACATCATGGTAGCTGGCCTCGCGTTCCAAGTTTTCACGCTATTCATTTTTATGATCCTCTGCGTCGATTTTGCATTACGCACACGTTCCCGATACCGCTCCCTCGGTAACGCCGCATTCGATCAAAATCCCGCTTTCATAACACTTCGCTCTTCTAAAGGCTTTAAAGGGTTTTTAATCGCTCTTGCCCTTGCTACGATTTGTATCTTCTGGAGATCTGTATACAGAGTTGCGGAATTGGCAGAAGGGTGGACTGGAAATCTTATCAGGAAACAAAATCTATTTATTGGATTCGAAGGGGTTATGGTTATTGTGGCTTGCTTTGCGCTGAACTTATTTAACCCTGCCATTACCTTTAAGGAAGCAATGACTGGGTTGGGTGGTTTAGGTACGAAGAAGAAGATGAAGAAGTCAGGAGAAAAGACTAGCGATGGGGTTAGTGCCAGTAATAGCGATCTTGAGGCTGTTAAAGTAGCTCCTGTTTAGATTGTGCGTGTGCGACTTGAATTAGCAACAGTTTTGGAAATGTTTTTAAGGACGTCATCTCATAGCAGTTTACAAGCGTTTATAGTGTTCTTTTAGATACCATACATATAGTAGAAATATATTTACGTTTATTGAGGGCCCATAGTCTCTTAGCAACGTATTGGTAATTCTGCATGATCGTGGCCAAGTCGACTGCTTGCCCCGGGTTTGTTTTTCCAATGTGATGGCGAGGGACTGACACTCCCTCTTCAGTGCGCTATTACACTATCTGATCCACTGGCTCCATTCGAAATATATGTAATTCACTGGAAATTCTGTCCCTTGATGGTCTGCAAGTGTTTTTGTTAGCCTCTTAGCTTCGTCTTTTGTTGATGTTTTTCACTGGTCAAGCTAGCTACTTGTTTTTATTTTCTTCGCGGGGATTATAGACTTCGTTTCCTACAGCAAAGTACTACGATAGAAAGTTGAGAACTATCTTATAGGGGATAAAGAAAAGCTCCCTGAAATTGTATTGAATTTATCTCTTATCGCTGAGAGAAGGTTTCGGGTGAATCTTCCCCCTTCAGGCTATGCATCATTTTATCAACGCGTTTCGTTCCTCATCGGTTTTTCCAGCAAAGTTTTCCTTCCCAGCCAACCCTTGATTAAAATAATTGCCGCAGAATGCTTTCGATGTCCCCTGAAGATATACCCATGGTGGCCTTTTCCAAAAATGCAATGGACCCCAAGGTCATCCTTTATAAAGATCTGGATGACAACTCTCATGAATTTTATTTCACCCCAGCAGCCGCCGCTCCAAAGACTCGCGAATCTGTTCGAGGAAGTGTTTCCTGGCACAAACAGCGTACCTCTATGGTCCTCTTCGCCGTTCTCGGAATCGACTTGGCATGCACTCATCATGGTTATTATTCATATCTGGATGGTAAACAAGGAACCAGCAATTTTCATAAACCATTCTCGATAACACTAGGAAGTCTTCTTGCTTTTTGTGTGGTGTCATCGTTTCTTGCGGCCAATTGTGCTGCTCATCTACAGAATCATTGGAGTCCATATGAAAGAAAGCATTTACGTTAAAATCATTGAATCAGATGTTTGCATTGACGTTTGATCCGATGTGATTCAGGAGCGTGGAGATATTCAGACATGCACCAGTTGTGGCTCTTCTCGCATTGGTCTATTGGTAATGAAATGAAGATTCATCTAATATACAAGCTTGCTGATTATCTGAATTTGGGGCAATGAGTCTTGCAGCAATACTGCCTCCTGGTACATAGATCATTGTTAATGGCCTTATGAATAAAACGGCTAACATTTCCATGCCTGTCATCATTCGGTCTACTGTCAATGCATTTCAGAAAGATAACGTTTTTACTGTACTTGGCACTGTTGTTATAAATATTGGCACAAAAGCTGCGGAGAGCTCTGATATTGTCTCAAATAAGCCAGCGCTTGAGTTTTGTTAGATGGAAATTTTTCCCGAAAATTAGATAATTTAGTACCTGCAATGCAGCTTATCCATGCGTCACACGATGATTAAGAAGTTTTGAAGGGCATGCATGTTCCTCATCATAGAGCAGACAAAGATGATTTATTTAGCGATCGGTTTGTAGTGCACTTATATACGACAAATCAAAACACAGCACAAGTCAAACAAAACGGGTGCAGCCATGCTTTCCATAAATTGAAGTAAAAAGTGAAACGGAACGCAGTAGATCGCCATTCTCTGCATCATCTTGTGCTGCCTCTCTCAAATTAGTTTTCACACCACTATATAAATGTCCTCCCGATTCAGAAATACCTCAATGAGCCATGAGCTAGAGTCTGAACATGAGACGAATATATGGGGGAAATCAGAGTCTTGCTCGAAGCAATGAAGAGTTCAAATAGGCTAGGAAAACATCGCCATAATTGGATTCAGTGCGAAGGAACAGAAACTTGGCTTATGTCAGTGTATCAAGTTTATTGTCAATTATAAAAGTTGTGCTGGTGAACATTATCGAACTATCGATAATGACAACATGAAAAGAGAAAGACTGAAGTTTCGGTGTCACTTCAAAGTCCGACGATAATGCGTGAAATTTAAACATGACAGCAACGAATTATAAAAATTAGGTAATGTGTTAAATTTTTCTTATTTTTAGGTCATCAAGCGAGACTGCCCTGTAGACACTAATTGTGCAATACATGAGCTATTGCGGGCGACCTCAAATTTGAAGAACCAGGAGCCTGTGAATAAAGAGCATATAATATAACAGTAATAATTCTAGGTTTACTCCGTAAATCCATTCATCCAAAGCAGCGATATTGATGAATCGGAATACAGACTCCATGTCTATCAGCCGAGGATTGTCTTGGCAAATATTTTTAACAACTAAAAGCCTATGATAAGCTGGCAATTTGCTGCTATAAGCTAGTTCAAGGACGCAATGTGTTTTTATCCACCCATATTACTTTATCCAGCTATGTGTAACCGCTCTCCATTGCAATAGAGATACTAGAGCGATATAAAAATAAGAGAAACCGAGGCGTCTCTCATTGCTTTATAGCTTTCAGATTTCCGGTACCAAGGATATCACCCTGCTCTTCGCTTCCACTCTTGGCCCGATCTATTCTCTCTTGAGTCGTCTTGAATAATCGTGGCACACTAGTCTTCTCGAACGGTACATCTTCTGAGACCACCTTGGCAACAGCTTTACCACAAAACCAAATGACTGGCATACCATGACCATTGAACCCGGCAACTACAAACTGACTAGGTTTTCCAGGTACTTCACCAACGTGAGGGTTTGAGTCGTAAGAATACCCCATGACTCCGGTCCAGATATTATCAACTTTAGCACCAGAGTCCTCCCAGCCATTATAGTTTTCCTGCATATAATTCTCGTAATAGTCTTTTGCTGACTCGATGAGAATACTGTCATCAACGTTATTGTACCATTGATCTTTATGAGGCCTAAATTTCGAAGCGGCACCACCGACGATGATGCTGCCATCTGCTCTGGGTATAAGATATGAAAGGGTGTTGTCTTCTGTTCGGTTGCTATAAGTATTGTTGAGAAGCGGTGCGGTCTTGCCTTCAGGTACAGTTATACGGCAACAGATACCTTTGCAAGGGACTATGTTTTGGTCATATTCAGGAAGAAGCGCAGAGATGTATGCATTGTTGGCATATACTATCTTGCTAGCATGTGTATTTCCTCTGCTTGTCGCAACGGTGAAGCCTCCACTGGCTACACTGGTTACACTAGTCACTGGTGTGTTGGTCTGCAAGTTAACTTTTCCTGTTGGCAAGATTATTTCGAGAAGCCCCAGAACAAACTTATAAGGCCACATACTCCCAGCCGTGTATGAAGCACAAGCCTTTGCACCCTTAACTCCACAGATCTAAGAAAAAGTTAGGATAAAATCATTCTGATGCACGGAATCTCACTTACGCCCTCAACTTCTTTTCCCGTATAGAAGATGACATCATCCATATACTCAAAATCGTTCTTTACCATCTGGTCATACACCGCCTTAGCTTTCTTTGCCATTTCCTCGTTACACCATACATCAACTGTACGGCAGAGGCTAAAGTCACAATCTATCTTCTCCTTTTCGAGAAGTTTCTTGATCTCCTTGACGTGAGCAATCTCAAACTCAGCAATCTCAGCTCCTGCACGTGGTCCACCTCGCTCAACATAAGTTGGAATATGACCGTACAGATCTGGTCTCAAATGTCCTCCATTTCTACCAGTTGCACCCGAACATGCACCTCGTGCCTCTATAATAGTGATTGACTTAACCGAGTCACCACCCTCCTTAACTAGATGATATGCAGTGCTAACCCCAGCATACCCCGCACCGACAATGACTAAATCGCTGTGTGTTGGGAGGTCTTCTGTAGATCGGTGGTCATGCAACCTATGCTTTTCAGATTGCCAGAAGCACTCTCCCGGGTTAGAAACTGGTAGGCCTTTGGATACTGTCGAGTTTGATTTTGATGGTGCGACCGAAATCGAAAGGTCATTCAAGGTTTCGGAAACAGTCTTCATGGTGTTGATAGTATAATTCGTTTCTCAGCTTTGACTTGGGAGCCTCTGATGGAACACTGGTATGCGTATATAGAATTTCAAGTAGGTAGTATGATCGTTTGGCGGGATGGTAATGTTTTACATTTTTGCTGTGTGTGATTCCGTAGGTGGTTGTCCAGGTACTATGTAGAAGTGAATTATCGGGACATTTTCTAGTGATATGATGGTAATTGGTCGATTGTGAAAGTATAAGTGACAAGTTGCAGTATTCGCAAATGCAAGCTTACAAAAAGGGTGACTTGATAATGAATCGTGACATTTCCTGATCTCTCCGCGTTCTTATCAGATGTCAAGCCCCTGTCCTTCAACCTTATCAAAGTTGCCATTGGCCCCTTCACATTCTTATCATCCCACTATAACTACCTAGGTAGGTTCCGATATTTATCCCAGCAATTTCACTTAGTCAACGCCGTCTTCAACTTTCTCGAATCAGGCTGATTTCAAGTTCTTTGACAAACAAATCAGATGTTTCAGGCATACCGGTACGAAATACGGCCAAGAATTTCGCGGCAAATGCAGACGGGGCCGTAACCTTGCGAGCTTACGTAGTAAAGTGGCGCAAATAGACTAGCCGTCTCAATTTTAATATCTTCCACTGTCCCGAATGGGGATACCGAAAGAGTACTTCTGTATTTGGTCTTTTTATCCAAAGGAACTCCTATACTACCCAGCTACTCTATAGGCAGTATATTCCAGATCCGGCTGAGCTCAAAGCCATTGGTCAATTGCAAGTGCAAGCATCACGATATAACCCACAGCATTTACTTGTTTCGAACAGCTGTTCTATATCTGACCTAGCAATGGTCAGAACAACACCGTCTTCATTTCTTAACTTGTTATTGATCGTCCCTGAAAAGAACCGGACAGGTTACTATCTAGCCTCCTAGCTAAGTTGTCATTTGGATGAACTACAAGGAAGCTATGCTCCAAGGCATAAGGAGGAGATTCTGATTCAAGTTTTCAATAATGTCAAAACCCCAACGAATCATTCAATACAAAACATCATCTGAAGTATAAAGTGTGCGTACAAGGGTTTAATGCTTATCAGCTTCGCAGGTAAAGGGTCCTGGAAGCTTCGTGCGCAATTGGAGAGTTCACATCTTCAACGGGTTGGCTTGGTTGAAGGGATGTTATTATTGTGTGGATTAAGCAGGGCACAGAGCCGAAGGGGCATTTGGGTATCATTGACTTAGCGGGGTAGCATCCAATTGCGGGTATAGCCTTTCTCAGTTCTGGCAAAGCTATGATGCAAACTGCTTCGAGGTGAGCGCGAGATAACTGTTATCATGATAAGATACTTCTACTTGATATACTCTATCTACAGCTAGCTCGATGTGGCTTCCCTACCAATGCAGGGTAGAGAATTCCGTGATTTCAAAGAGTACAAGATAGACCAGAAATACGCTGTGTCAAGATCCATCATTCTTGCACAGGAAAATTTGTCTTTCAACCCTCTTCGTTGATATAGGAATCTCTTAAAGATGTTCTCAGAACATAAATCAGACGACTACGAACTCGGCCATGGAGGCTCTAAAAACGAGGCTATCGGACAAGGAAATATTGAAGTTGACTCTGGTCAATATGAGAACAGAACGGTAGTAGAATTTCAGGAGGTGAAAGCTTTCAAGCAAGGCCTTCATCAACGCCATATTCAGATGATCGCGCTTGCCGGAACAATTGGTACTGGTCTATTCCTTGGTTCTGGCCGAGCAATTGCAAGATCCGGTCCACTGGGTGCATTTCTTGGCTATTCCGTGGTTGGCCTCGCTGTTTCGAGTGTAGTGTTTGCTGTTGGAGAAATGGGAGCCTTGATTCCTCTCACTGGAGGACAAGTTCGTTATGCTCAGCACTTCTTCGACCCTGCCATGTCTTTCGCCAATGGCTGGAACTAAGTCTACTCATATATGGTCTCTATTCCCTCCGAGATCGTCGCTGCTGCAGTTTTGGTAGAGTTCTGGACAACAATCAATAATGCAGTGTGGATTACAGTTTTTGCAGTTCTCATGGTCATGACCGCAGTCACTTTTGTTAGGGTCTATGGTGAATTGGAGTTTACATTTTCTATGCTGAAGATTATGCTTGTCATCGGAATTAATGTAATGGCTCTCGTTATTACCTGCGGAGGAGGTCCGAACCATGAATCGATAGGTTTTCGTTACTGGAGGGACCCTGGAGCTTTCGTCCAGTATTTGGGTCGCTTCCTTGGATTTTGGACAACACTCAACAATGCTGTATATGCATATTCCGGAATTGAGAATATCACTGTAGCCGCTGCAGAGACGAAAAATCCACGAAGAGCAATTCCATTGGCCGCTAAGCGCATCTTTATCCGAATTCTTTTGTTCTACATTTTGACCATCTTCATGGTCGGCCTTATGGTTCCATCCAACGACCCCAACCTTCTTCAGTCTACTGGTACTGCCTCCCAATCACCGTTCGTTATTTCCGCGAAGAATGCCGGTATTAAGGTTATTCCATCGATCATCAATGCTGTCGTACTTACCTCCGCTTGGTCTTCCGGAAACTCCAGTATGCTCGGCGGAACACGAATCCTCTATGGTATGGCTATGCATGGACACGCTCCCAAATTCTTCACTAGAGTGAACCGAGCCGGTGTTCCTTATATTGCAGCTGCTTTATATGCTGTTTTTATGTGCTTGGGCTACATGACTTTGTCGAGTACTGCTAGTACAGTTTTCACATGGCTTCAAGATCTTGTCTCGATCGCAACCTTGGTTAACTGGATATCCATCTTGGTCGTCTACCTTAGATTTCAAGCTGGCTGCAAAAGACAAGGAATCAATCGCCACACTGAGCTTCCATGGGCCGCACCACTCCAGCCATACACGACGTGGGCCTCTCTAACCCTGTTTGTCATTCTCCTCTTCACCGGAGGATACGTAACTTTCATTCATGGCGAATGGGATACTGAGACATTCATCTCGTCGTATTTGAACATTCCTCTCTTCCTAATGCTGTTTTTGGGTTATAAATTTTATTGCAAAACTAAAATGGTTTCTTTGGAGGAAATGCCTATTCGTGGATTCATTGAGGTTTACCAGCAAAACCCCGAGCCAGAAGAGGAGCCCAAGAAGGGGCTTCGAAGACTGAATATCTTGTGGTCTTGAGACCTTCTGCAGCAATTTGGTCATATAGCATGTTTAGCATTTTTATTACATAGTTACTTGAACAAGTTTATAATTACAACTTTTTTCATTCCCGTATTGTAGATTTAGACTGCTGAACAAGACAGGTATGTGTTAGGACGAGTATTTCTAGCAATATTACTTATCTATCCATCAAATCTTCAATACTTTGACTCTCATTTAGAGCTTTGCCAATCCTGATCCTATTCATCCCAATTCCAACGCAATTCTACATCGTCACCCGCTCGTCAACAGACGACACAACTCCCCAAGATAGCAAGCACTGGTGACGGCCATTCCTCATCTTCCTCACCACAGCCAATCAAATCACCAAATCCCCAAATACCGAAACTCAATTCCAACAAACATACAGATAAAACACGATATCTGGATACAAATCAAAGTAACCGTGGAGTTTGCGGCTATAAACCCCGTAGATAAGTGCCATATCCGAAGCTTGTCCGACTCCCACCCCTGAAACCGAACGCGCATAGTCTCGCAGCTGTGATAAGAATTGCCCATACATCGATGAAGTATTAGATATAAGAGATGCTATAATAGGAAGATGTTGCAGATAAGGATATATCTGGAGTGGGTTACTTGTTATCGGGAAACGCAAGTGGTTGCATGGATTTATGGGACACTTAAGAAATAAGCATAATTTCATGTCAAAATTCAACAATTTTAAAATTCTATTAAAATTTAATAATCCATTAAATATTCTTTAAAACTGTATGTTGGATTTATTAAATATTAAAAAATAATATTTTTGAGAAAAAATTAAAATGCTTGAAAATTGAGCTCAAAAAATCCAATATTATATCTTTACATTAAAATATTTAAATAGGAAATCATATATTCGATTAAAAAAGCTTCAACTTAGATTTTTTCAATTCAATTGTGAAACTGTATAGAATCTCTATGCTTAATAGTTATAAGTATCAATTTCAAAGAAATTCAGAAAGATTTCGAATTTTAATTGAATTATCTAAATCGTTTTTTTTTTTGCTGTAGAATTGTGCTTTACTTGTAAGCTATTCTGTCAGTCCGTGCACCCACTGGTGGAGTAAACTTTAATGTTGGTTTAGAAGCCGATTATGGGGCAAACGAGGAGGGGTATGCATCCAAGTGAAACCTAGCAGATAAGCCTCCGGCATAAGATAAACTTCACGAACTACCTACCTACTTGTTCAGTAATCAGGAGATATGAGAACGTCGGGCGAGATCGGATGTGTGGTTAGATTGTGGTGGTAGTGAGGTTACATACATTATGGAGACGGTGCCAATGAGGGGAATCTATCATTGCGAATCACAGCATGTATATCATGAGGCTTCCCGCAATTAGCAATTCGAACCCGTAGGTGGGATCCAATAGATATTGAGATAGTATATCTCTGTTATTAGCAATATCGCTTTTTGAATGACACATAATTTGGTATCACAAAAGCTGCTATTGAGTTGGAATCATATATCGCTGGAAGGTAGAGAGCACAAATTTAGTCGTTCGAAGCGCAGAGTAACCTTAGATCAAACCAATTATTTCATTCTGTACCTCTGTCTCTAGATCAAATCTAATCTCTGCAATATACCATCCAATTCCCATAGTCCAGCAATCAATTATTAATCCCTAAAACACCATAACCAAACCCCAAAACTCCAAAAAATGGTCGGCCAAAAACAAGTCGTCTTCGACATCGTCGGCACTCTCGTCTCCTTTGACGAATACCACGCACAAATCGACCGAGCCATCGGCTCCAAACTCCGCGCCCACAACATCACCGCAAAATTCTTCGGCTACAGCTGGATGACCGCCGCGGAGCTGGAATTCACCTTCCTCTCCATTTCCGAGCGGTACAAGCCTTACAAAGGCATCTTAGAGTCAACCTTCTACCGCACGTTATGGTTCGCGGGAGTCGAAGACCCGCGAGCTCTGTGCACGGAGGAAGAACTCCACGCGTGTGTGCAAGGGTACTCGGAGCTACAATTGCGACCGGGCGCCAAGGAGTGTTTTGAGATTTTGCAGAAAGGCGGGTTTAAGGTGTGGTTTTTGACGACGGCCGATTTGAAGCGCGTGCGGGAGTATTTTTCAAAAGGGGGTGTGGAGATGCCTGCGGAAAACTTCATCTCGTGCGATAGCTCTGGAGTGGCCAAGCCGGCTTTGGCAGCGTACAGAACGACGTTGGAGAGGTTTGCGGCGGATGATGAGACGTGGTTTGCGGCGGCCCATATGTGGGATGTGTCGGCGGCAAAGAAGGTTGGATTTAAGGGGGCTTATTGTATGGAGTATGAGAAGGAACCGTGTTTGGAAATCTATGATACTGAGCTGGAGGTTATGGCCAACACCCTGCCGGAGATGGCTGAGAAGATTGTGAAAGCTGCTTCCCCGTAAGGTACAATATTAACAATATAGTAATTTTTAGTGATAACACTATCACGAACTTCTGTAATTATTCGGTTTTACGGCTATATTCCAGGGAAAACTCCTCATCTCACTAGTCGTGAAGCAATGGAAGAAGTGCAGTAGAAAATTCAAAATCCAACCAGTAACTCAACAATATCAGAAACAATTTCCCTGTAATACAGCCATCATCCCCATTTCACAGATAATCATTAAACTAAACGACTGTAGAAGCATAGATCACCATGAGCTAAATGCATTTCACTATTCGCGTTCACCGGGGCAAAGACATGATAGACACAAAGTAAAAGTCACCGCCAATTCTATTTTCGTTACCTGCTATCAATGATAGTAACCCGGTTTCTCGACCAGTAATATTTACAAGTATCTACACTCCTCGTCGATCAATTATGTACAACTTTTCTTTCGCTTCTTTTTCCAAGGTCCTTTTTCTCCTTCAATCATGTCCTGGTACATGCGCACCTTCTATTCCCGAACAATGCAATGCAATGCGATATAAAGCAAACCATTTCCACGCTCATTAGGCTGGAAAAAGTAGCCCCCTCCAGAAGAAAAAGCAACGTGAAAGAAAAAAACTGGGTATCCATCCGTCATCCAAATGTATTGTATCCCCCAAACCCACCAAAGCCCCCCCGAAGCCTCCGATCCAAATGAAATCCCTTACAAAAGAAAAAAAAGAAAAAAATCGTAGAAAAATAGTAAATGCCAAGTTAACGCCGTTCCGTGTGTATGTTTCGTTGCCTTCCCAGGTCCAGTCTAATGTCAAAACTTGGTAACTTAAAAATGTGACTTGCAGTGTGTCGTATGAGGTGTCACTTGTTCCTCGCTAATGCCAACCAGGCAAAAAGTATTTTGCTCTTTTAGATACCAGCTCCAACTGGCACTCTTTGCATAATAATAGGCACGTCAGTAAAATCCAGCCCCCACTGCTTGGACACATCGACCCCCTTTCTTCCTCCTTGGTTCATCATTCCGCTGCTTCTCGTTCCCGCACTCCCGCCTAGACCGTAGCCGGGCTCAAATCCATATCCCAGACCTCCCGCATATCGGTCCAGTACTAACATATCCTGCGTTGAGCTTCCCATATCCGGAATTGGCTGAGGTTCTTCACAAGACGGAGCATCATACTCGTTGGCTAGGAATTCACCGGAAAGATCATGGAGATTGGTAGAAGAGCCATACGTGTGGTCATAAGCCCCAGCATGAATCTCCCACTCCTTTTCACTATAAAGACTTGCAGCTCTTGAATTATTCCCAGACTTTTCCTGAACATCAAAACTAAAGTGATGAAGAGGGATAGGTCGATGGTATTGTGTAGCTGGTCTAGCACTTTGAGATCTTATCTTGGACGGTCTTTCAGCATGACCGATTTGAAGTTGTGCCGGGAAAATTTGCTCTTTTGAATCAAACCAAAGTTCTTGCCCCGACGCTAGGGATCCCTGACTTGGTACCTCTCGGATGGGAGGAGAGGTAAAGGATCCTGGAGGCGGGGTGATTGATTCTTGAAATGAAGAAGTCATTATTTCCGGGGACAATGGCTGTGAAAGAGGAGAAGGTGCCACAGATGTAGATCTCAATTTTGGCAACTTCAATGGCCCTGAAGCAGGAACTGCAACAGATTTTCGTTGATTCTGGAAAGAGACAGGCGGAGGACTATTTACCCTGTTGGTTCTTGCTATGGAAAACCTCTTCGCATCCTCCTCAGCTGTTCGTCTCTGCGATGGCAAGTCCCGAAGAGTGAATGTGGAACTTGATGAAGTAGCTCTTGAGCTCGGTCCAGTACTACTATGGTCAAATGGGTTGCCGCCTACAAGCTTGTTGTAAGAGTCCTGGCGGCCATTGATATCTGGCCTTAATAGTGAAGGTTCCTCGGATTGAGACCGAATCACATTGGCCTGTGTAGATTGAAGTTGCGCAGCCGCGCTCTTCATCTTAGGTGTAGGCGCAGCCCGTGGTGTAGCTCGTGGAGGCGTCCTTTCCATTGCTGTTAGTGCCAAATCATAGGGAGATCCTCCCAAGCTATTCTTGATATTGTCAAAAGATGTCAGATGGTTTTCAAAATCTGTTTGGTCCTCTTGTGGATATGTATTCAGAGAAGTGGGAGACTGATACGGTTGTAGTGTATATCGATTCTTGGGTGTAGATGGAGTTGAAGGAGCATACGAATGTCCTCGTGCGTTTGGTGGTTTCCAACCAGTATGGTAATCCTCCTCTGGAATGGACGAAGGAATAGGAGGGATTGCATTGTGTAGCCTATTATATGTGGACTCCATTTCCCCAGGCTCCAAAGACGTTATAGTAGTTATGGTCTCTTTCGAACTGACCCTTTGCATTGCTTTGTATTCCATGATTTCATCTACACTGTCACTATTTTTAAATGAAACCGCAGTAGATAAATGCATTTCACTCCGTGATCGAGATTGTCCTGTGAATCTTGGAGCACCAGGGTAGAAAGATTGTGGGCGTTGTCTCTGCACTCCCCAGGGTGAGCCTGAAGTCTCACCAGCAGTGAAATTTTGAGGCTGACGTGGAACTACTGGCATGCTCTGTCTATAAGAGATGGGCGTTGGCTGTTGAATTTGAGTTTGATGGCTCGAACTTGGCAGAGAGACATTGCTCAATCTGGTCATCTTTTGAGATTCTAAACTAACCATTGGAATCGCATGGTTGGCAAGAGGCGGTGCTTCTGTTGTCCTGAGGGATATTTTTGTCGGCGAAACTCGCGCTGTTGAATTATTTCTGGATGTAGATGAACTGTATCCACTGTCAGTTGGCGCCAACTGTTTCGAGATCATATCTTGTTGACTTTGGATCCGGCCTAAAGTTTGTTGTTCTGGTGTAGCAGGCGATGGACCGTAGCCAGAGTCAAATGAGCGAGTGTCGTTGCTGTAACAAGACTCGAGCGTAGGTGTAGTCATCTCAGCCTCGAATAATTCATCTTCTACAGCAGTGTTCTTGCTGGTAGCTTCTAATGGGGACCCGACGGGGCTTGCAACAAAAGAAAATGGACTTAATTGAGGAGGAAGATTCAAAGAATGAGTATTAGTAGGAGATAACGGCGATTTAAGGGTAGATGTAGTACTCGGGATTTTGATGGTTAGAGAATCGTGTGAATCATTTTCTATGGGGGATTGTGGGAAAGAGGTTGGTGCCCAAGGGCGTTTCATGGCTTCTGCGGGGACAGAAATGGTATAGCTTCGATTGGCGATGCCTTGAATCCTGGAGCTTGCTTGTAAAGTAGCAATATGCTGATCATTAGATGGGAGACTAGCTCTCCTTTCGTCGGCACTAGGTGTAGGGCTTGCTGAACCATTCGTAATTCTCAGAGAACCAAGCTGAAATGAACCAATATGGCCAAGGTCATTAGGAGTAGAAGTACGTGCACCGTGATTTTCATTATGCACATTTGTTCTTAATGTCAAAGGTGCCACAGACCATTTTCCAATATTTTGGTACGAAACTGGCATTTGGTTCTGACAAGACTGAGAATTTGATATGACGCTGTGTCTTGTCGCAACACCATGTTGAAGAAGGGATTTGCGACGTATAGGCGCATATATTGCAGGGTCTGATTGAGTTCTCTGGCAGAATGGGTCTGACAACTGCCAATCCATCTCTCCACCATTTTGTCCAGCCAAACTTGTTGCGACATTTATGGAATCTGGTCTCGCAGGAAGGCCTTCTGATACGAGGGAAAGGCGATTATTATTATTCGATGAAAACGGTACATGTGGAAGTGATTTTCGTGAACGGTGGAATGTTGGTCTGGCATTTAATGAGTACGTACTGTACAAATAGACAATTTATAGTGACTTACCTAGGACTTTGAGCAGCCCATGACTTTTCCTCTGTCGCCTCAACAGCAACAGAATTTACGGAATTACTTCTTGTAAACTTGCCAGTATTTATTGGTGGAGAAACACTTGGTACAACACCAACATTGGCATCCAATGGGGCGTTTTCCTTATCCTTCTTTGAATTCCTTGACCTGAATAGACTCATTCTCTTCTTCTTCGTGGGTGTTGGGTCTGGTACATGTTCAAGAGACTCAGTCTCAAGAACACTAACGAGCTTGCCATGGGGAAGAACTGAAGCTGCAGCAGTTACAATCCCTTTTCCAGTAACGGAGTTTCGACGACTCGGATTTGGGCTGTTGGCGGTCGATAGCGGTGGCCCGGTAGGCTTGGTTTTTGGTTTCGATAATTTCTTGCCTCGTCTTGGGCCCTGTGCTGATTGGCTGTTCCCCATCGTTGATGCAGAAGAATGATAATCGAAAGACGAGAAGGCTGAAGCTTAATTATTGTACATCTGGCGATGTATATTATATTGCTTCCATTTCGCTCCGATTATACTTTACCAAAATCTTGAAGTAATGAAGATCTTATGGAAAGTATGTAATATAGGGCAGATTGGGGGGAGAGAGGTGTAATGTCGGTATATAAGGAGGGGGTGGAGGAGGTGGAGGAAGTCGAGGATTTCGACATAAATGGTGATATGCCTCTTGTATATATCAATTCTTGATACGAAGGGAAGAGAAGGCGCGATGTTCATTGGAGAGTAGTACAGGGGCTTGATCAAGGATAAATGTTGGATAGAAGCCTTGACAAGGTTTCGTAGCTCATACCATGTAAATAGAAACGGGGTAGCTTTGAAAGATATCAAGGATACGTGAGGAGTTCAGATGCTCTCGCTGCCAATGAAAAAGCAGGACAGCGAGGACAATCAGGACAGAAACAAGAAAGAATATGAAAATTGCTCCTTTAGGATTAAGTGAATGTATGAAATATGCGCCATCCAACTTATGCATGGATTTTGTTCAAATGCGCTTGAATGGTGTTTCAAAGGATGCAGAAAAAAGATGCAACATAACCAATTTGTATAGGAATTTTCTTGTGCCCGCAGCCCAGAACCATTAGGTGAGAAAAGTCAATTAATGTTGGCTTGGTCTACATCACGAAAATGCGTCCAAGCTGACGACGATCCAAGCAGCGGGATGAAAGAAGGGGATCTGATATGTACTCTGTACTTTGTATGATGATGCATTCTTGATTTTTTGAGTGGCTGGCGTGAAGGCCAAATGAGTGAGGTTTAGGGATACGATGGTAGATGTCACGGCTCACGGTAATGCATCCAAGTTTTACGTGATAATGAAAGCTTTATTTAATACCTAGGGAGGTAAGCATGGGGGGAAACAGACCACTTTCGCTATATTTGTTATACGGATGAAACATTATTATACGGCCCTTTAAGTTATGATATCCAACAAATTAATATTTGCATCATCGTTTTTAATATCAAAGCAGCATGTACCATTCATTGGCAATGTAGCGATATATGCATAGCGATAGCGTAAGCTGTCTATACCAAGCATATAGATAGTTAGATACAGTGCCGTGCCGTACTGCCACTGAATGAAGCCATCACGCCATTTCCTCTCTCTCTCTCTCTCTCTCTTCACGAGAGCTTTCAGATGGTAACTTGATTGATCTCTATCGGTCTTCCCCAATATCACGAAATCTCCGTAGATCCACGACTCTCATTTGCTTTCTCACCATCCTACCGTCTCCCTTCACCGTCGCCCCTTGCCTTCGTCCTTGACCGTCGTCCTTGACCGTCGCCCTTCACCTCCACCCTCACACCAACACTCTCAAACATCAAAGCCTCGTCCTTAAGAGCGGCAAATACTTGGTCGTTGCTCTCAAGGATTCGAAGGCCACGACAGGTTACAGTATGGTAATGTGGAGATAGATAGATCCAATTGGAATCTTCCAATCTCCAAACGGATAGAAAAGATCGCCTTGGCTGATGCATTTGCATTAGCGGGCGGCATAAGTTTTGGTGGCATTTTCCTTCTTCAATAATAATGTTTAACTTTCATTCAAGAATTCAAAGATAATCAAAGAGGTTGGCCCCGCTTGTAGTGGCTGAGGCTCTAATCATCCTCCATGGCGCGTCAAAATTTATCAAGTGGAGCTGGAGTGCACAACTTCATCATGAAATTTTAATCGTATGTGCGTGCACAAGTGGAAGTTAAATTCACTCCACTTTCAAAAGCTTGAAGACGCTCATTAAAATTGTGATCAGATCCACTAATTTGCTATTTACAGATTCCCTGACCACGATGAGATCCTTGTGGCGGAGCACCTATCTTGTTTGTTAAATATACCTACCTACCTACTGTTACTTATTGACTGCCTAGAGATATGATATTCCTAATATCTTTTTATTCTGTCGCGCGCATACGGTTGTTTCTACTCTTATCGTCTCTAATTCATGATCGGTAAAGAAGAACAAGCCATCCCTCCCCTAACTAATTTCCAATACTCACCGTGTAGAACACGAGATGAGACACAAATCGAGTCTCATCAAGAATCTGTTTGAAGGCGAAACTCCATCTATCTTGATACGCATATCATCGCCAGATCTGACGTTCTTCAATAGTACGGAGATCGACTCCGTAGTTGGTATCATAGTACTTGAGCCAGGCCATATTTGAGATTATGCAAAATTTGGGGCATTTTCCGAGCCAAATGTGGTTCCATGGAACTATGAATGATATACACGATAGATCGACCGTGGCTGGCTGTCAAATGTCGTTCCATGGAACTATATATGATACACACGATAGATCAACCGTGGTCTTCCTTCGGCTGTCAAATGATATTCATGAATCTGAATCACTAAGGCTAGAAAGAACATTTGAATACGCAATCGAGAGCATGTTAATGTAAGCCGACAACCAAATTTGTTGAAAATTGAACTATGAACCCCTTCATCCTCGTCCTAATCTGCATGAAACTAAGCGAAAATCAACACCTACACAGTAGAGCCCGAATGTAAACAATAGCCCTCTCAACAATTCTCGCCGCGCCGTATTGAATTATGAAATTTCATCTAGAGACAATTTTTCCATCTACCTCCCTGGTTTCTTGTATGTTAAAATTGTACCATAAAACACTAGTGCAGTTATCTAGCTTGGTTATCCTTAACTTGCTGAATCGACCATTTTGCGACATGAGACGAAAAGCTAGATCATCGGGAGAATTTCTTGAGCCAGAATTAATTTTGGTTCTCTGGCAAATCTCAATCATCGCAAACAAGGCAGGGAATCATCAGCTTCCAAATTAATTAAATTCTATCGGATACATTAACGTCACGATCTCCACAAGTGCGTATAGTGAAGCAACAGCTCAACGGTGTTGCGGCGTTCCGAAAAGCAATCTCGAAATACCATCTTAAGAACGACAACAGCCCAAATCACGACAAATTGAATGATGCACCAAATTGAAATTCGAACTTCAGCTTTTGTTAGCATGATGTTGTCGTAGGAGCCGCCTATTTCTAAAAACAACACGCCACGTTTATGGCAACTATTTAAGCTTGCGTTTGAACCAACATCATACTCGGTACCGACAACCATTCGGCAAACAGCGTACCTGTTGAATGATCTTGTCAGAATCAGATCCTATTAACCTGCAGATCCAGCCAGCAGCCTTTCCCTCGATGAAATTGAACAGCCACAATTCCTTTCACCTGGGCAAGACTTCAGGCGCGCTCTACTAAGCTGTCGTACCCAAGGGAGTACAAAAATGACATTTCAGCTCACAAAAAGGATGATCTGGCAGCGGAAGAATATTCACTTCTTGCATGCATAATCTCCACTCAGTATGGACTTGACCACAGCACAATACAGAAGTACCGTCGAACCAAATCACGCGTTGGGTCACAAGATGTGTATTGGCACCAGAAGCCTGCATTATTTGGACCAACTGAGAGTTCCTAGGATTTCGGGAACATAAATGCCTTCGATGCATGAGAACGCATTGCGCTGCAGCGGCACAATGCAACTTTGCCAGACTCTCAACGTTTCTTACTCCAGGTTATCACCATCATTTGTAATCTCAGCTTTTTACGTTACAGTCAGGCGTCATGTATCGTGTTACCACAACTCATCTTTGGGCATCTGCTGTTGAATATACCTGTCCATCATAAGTATCGTTTCTCTTCGCTATATTTTCTTGAGTAGGTTCAATGCTTCGCAACGTCCTCATCTTTTCGACCATTTGCTTTCACGTCTTACAATTTTCTATCATGCATATATGTCCACTTGGGAAGTTCCGAATGAAATCAATCCGTTCTATAGATAAACGTTCCAGAATCCAGATTTCCCACCAGCTGCGATCACACGAACTCCTCTCCCACCGTTATCAACTTATCTATTCGAACCTCGGAAACCGCCCGCTGCATCAACCTATCAGACTTATCAGCATGACATGACACTACAATACAGATCCCCGTCTAGCCCTACACACTTCTTTTTCAAAATGAAAGCGGAGGTTATGTAACAGAAAAGAAGAGATTGGACGGTAGATACTATGAGAATGATGAATCCATCCATATCGATACGAATTGGATAGAATTGTAAACCTTGAAAGAGTGCCTTGAACCGGTTTTCAAAAGCATATGGGATTTACGGTTTCCCTCTATCAAAGCTCTGTACGAACCTCGAAGTATGTACCATGTATGAGTGCGAGTAGATGAAGCTTATTATTAATCAAGAAGCAATCATGTCAACTCCTCTCGAAGTGTTTCTTTTTTTCACCATGTCCTAAACTTCTTCTCCAATCATCAACGGCAATTCACGTCCGATGGTTACATCTTAGTTAGGTATCACTCGCTATCATATCATCTGCTATTGACCCCTGTAGTGATACGCTACTTGATCCTCTCGGGCGACTTCGCTCGGCTTCTCCACAAACTGACACATCTAACTCACCAATCAAAATAACAAATTAATCTATGAATTCGAATCTCGGATTCTCCTCCACCCTTTTGAAGGAGTCCTAGACTTCCGAATCAACCATGGAATGTATCTCCTATCATATTTTTGAACAACACATCAAGAAGATCATCATCATCAGCAGCAAGATCAGTTGTGGTTGCAGCAAGCTTGATTCCAGACTCCAACTTGATCTCCTGGGGAAATTGTGAATCAATATTCCAAGATCACTTTCATATACACCGATGTATCCTCCTAAGAATTCTTTGAGATGGAGACGATAACAATACCTTCTCCATCGGCATTTCTTTCCTCCCCTGTTCTCAAGCCAGCACCAGAACCACCTCCACCATCTAAAAAACGAAAGCAATCTACTTCCAAGCCATCCGCTGCTCAATCCTCAAAGAAAGAACATAGTATCAACAAACCTAAGCAATCAAAAAGTCGGAATGGTAAGCTTTGGATACCTTCATTTTCACATCTCTTATCTTCGTGATTGATAAGAGCTCTTGTGCCCCGCATCAAGCTTCACATGCTAATTGAAACTCCTTACAACTTGTTAGGTTGCATAACTTGTAAAGCAAAACGATTAAAATGCGATGAAACAAAACCTTCTTGTCAGCAATGTCATAAGAGAGGCGTTTCCTGTGGAGGATATAAGAAAGATTTCAAATGGAGGCCATTCGAGGAAGCTACATTTACAAACAAACCGCCACCGCTAGCAGCCCCCAAGAAAAGAGGTACTACAATGACTACAAGCTCTATAGACTGGCTCTAATATCTCTAGGTTCAATCGCACTGGATAAAGCACCAGATAACTCCACAGCTGCAAGTCCAGTAGCTTCTGATAGAACGGCTTCTACCCCCGGCGGGGAAGATACGCAGATGCAAGACTCGTTTTTCAATGCCGCAGTGCCTTCTCCGTCTACTTTTGATGTCCCGACTTCGCTTCCGGAGCTTCATTCGGGATTCTCTCCTATGTTTGATATGAGCACGCCTAATTTTAGTCAGGATGACTCTCAACGCTCTAGGATTGAACCGGATTCGGTCACAAGCAGTCTAAGTAGCATTTTTGAAGATACCGGTTTAGTCACACCAACAAGATCAAATTTCTCTGGTCAGTCACCAAGATTAACAGATCTATTACAATCTGGATCGGATCCAAATACAAGGCCGCGGTCTATGTCCATGGCTTCGTCCATTCCTATGACATCAGCAATGATGGGTATGCCAATGACAAGCCTTAATATGACTCAATTTCAAATGACGAATGATTCATCTCTGGAAGATGATATTGAGGAAATCATTCGAAAGCCTCCCTTATCTGATGCTGATATGTGGTTGGCAATGAGTCCCTGTCAACCTCAATCAAGATCTCCCAGTGTATCTCCCAGGAGTTTCAGTCCAATATATCGACAGCCGGATGTTCCGGCCGGTAGCCCAGAGATGCTAATGCTTAGATTTGATAAGCAGACATGTGGCATTTTATCTGTCAAAGATGGTCCTACAGAGAATCCATGGAGAACATTAGTTTGGCCTCTGGCACGGGATTCCCCCGCATTGTATCATGCTATTGCATCCATGACCGCCTTTCATACATCCAAAGAGAAGCCTGCCCTTCGCGTCGACGGCATGGAACATATGCGTCGTAGTATTCGTTCCCTCGCGACAGGGATTGAAAAAATGCGCACCGATACTGCACTCGCCACAACACTTGTCCTTGCATTTGCCGAGTCTTGGGATCAGCATATCTCAACTGGGATTGAACATCTCAGAGGTGCAAAAATCTTGGTCAATCAAGCACTCATAAAGCACAATAAAAGGAGTCTTGTGGGTGATGATCTGGCCAGATTAAAATTTCTTTGCAACACTTGGGTTTACATGGATGTTATTGCTAGGTTGACATCGATTGATGATGAAGATTCTACAGATTTTGAGAACATTCTTTCGCCGCTTAATAATCTCTCCTCCAATTCTTTTTCTTCTGCTTCTTCTTCTTCTTCTCCTGCCAACGTCACTCAAATGTCCGAAATTGATCCACTAATGGGCAGCGCGGCAACACTATTTCCTCTAATTGGTCGCGCTGCAAATCTGTGTCGCAAAGTGCAAAAGTCGAAATCAAATTCTATAGCCATAGTATCACAAGCCATGGAACTCAAGCAAGAAATTGAGCAGTGGCAACCTTCAACCGCATTCTTAACTCCTGAAGATCCAACTTCTGAAATTCAACACGCACTCCAAACAGCCGAAGCCTATCGTTACGCCACTCTTCTCCATTTACATCAAGCCGTTCCTGAAATTCCATCTTTAACGTGTGCAGAATTTGCCAAGAAAGTTCTAGTTTTCCTAGCTACAGTACCGCTTAGCAGTCGCCTCGTGATCGTTCAGATATATCCACTCTTAGCGGCGGGCTGTGAAGCAAAGGATGCCGAAGATAGGGCCTGGGTTGACGAAAGATGGGCAAGTATGGGAAGAAGAATGTGGATTGGGAATATCGATCGCTGTTGGGAAGTTATGCAGGAAGTGTGGAGAAGAAGAGACGAAGTTGCTAGGAAGAAAGAGCAAGAATTGATGAGGAAGAATGGCGGGAGAATGGGAATGTCTGGGATGCATGGCGGGCCCAGCGATAATATGAGAAGGTTCGAGGGAGGAATGGAGAATGGGATTAGGAACGATGAGATTTCATTTTCGGATCTGTTGGATCTTAATGAAATGGGAATTAGGGGGCAGGGTAGGAGAGCTTCACCAGTGGGAAACAGACATAGACATAGCATTTCGGGGCCGTCTCAGGGATCGTTTGGGGAGCTCATGGCTCAAAGACAAGCCGCGGGTCTTATTACGGAGGAGATGGACCAGGAGCTGACGGTTAGAGGTAAATTGCATTGGGTGGGTGTCATGAAGGATTGGGAATGGGAGAGTGAGTCTAATTTCTTTCATTTGGTCTATTTATATTTGTTTTCTCATGTCCACATCCTTTCCATACTGGGTATATCTTCATCAAACTCCCATACAAATTTCTTCCTATCCCTCTCATATCCATCTGGTAACAAAGGAAATCGTTATCGGTATGATATGTATGAAACAAAGCTAATGAATGACATTGAAACAAACAGTCCTACTTGGCTAACCCACAACTTTGCAACCAAATCCTCGTCCCAGCAGCGTCTGATCTTCGAAATCCTTGCTGCCACGCATCGTTTGCTTTGCGCACAGCTCGCTTGTGTCTTTCCCGTCTTTGCTCCTCTTCCAATGCATTTTGCATAAATGCTTCGTAGGAATCTGGATGTGAGTGGCTGTTTATTTCTTGGCGTCTGGGAGGTTGATAGGAAGTTGCCTCATTGAGAAGTGTACATGTGATGGACCAATTCGTCGCAGAGGAGTTGCGATGACGGGGACAATAACATTTTTGCTCTGAATCGCATTGCTGGTATTGTCGTTGGGATTGCGGTGTTCGAGAGGAAGATTGATGTCGCTTGTTACTACTCGATGAGGTGTTCTGTTCTCTTTCTCGCCATGACGATGAGAATGAAGCTGAGGACGAAGCAAGCTTTCTCTTGATGTTGGAAATCATTGTGTATGAATGAATGGGTATGATTGAGGATGTGAGGTTAAGTAGCTGATTTTGGTTTGGGATACTTCTAGGCCCTGTGTCTGTAAAGGGATGTTTTGTACTCGGGTCCTGTGTGGCTTGACCTGTGAGTCGCAATGTAGTTGATGATAGGGTGTGAAAATGTATCCTTTAGCGAGGCGTCTGGGTGGCTTTTTTTTTGAGAGTCGAAGAATTAAATTGGCGTTTTAGTCGTTGTTGTTACTGTTGTTGTTGTTGTTGTTGTTGTTGTTGGAAACCGTGACTTTGTCACTTGGGCTTTTCCATGTGGATATTGAGATTGAGATTGGATTTATATGGTTGTTTTTGGACCGATGATGATGTTTGAGATGGGATATCGGTTTAACTTCTGGATGTTTACATATAGAGAAAGATAGGACATTAAGCAAGATTTGAATGAAATTGATGGGTTTCTTGCTATGGGTGCATGTAATACGTAATGGTGAGTAACGTGTGGAACAGAGAATCTTGCTTGTTGGAGTAGAGAATGAGAGGATGGATGGGGATGGAATAGTATGATGTATGTATGTGGATATGTACTCGAGTATGTGTTGCGAAAAAGAAGATCTGAAACGAGGTCTTAAATTCCTGGGTAGGTAGGTATTTAATGAATGAAAGATGGGGATGGAGATGGAGTTGATAGATTCTCGCATTTAGATGATGGACTGATTGATTGATTGATTGATTGATGCTTTCCCTGGAATTTCTGGAATTTCGGTTTAATGGTAATAGCAATGACAACGAGAGATAGTGCGCGAAATATGTAATGTGTAATGTGTCACGCAGACTTGGTACCTAGGTATGAGGTGAAGTTTGACCATTTATGTGTGATGTGTGTCGGATGGATAGATGGATTTGGGGGGTTGCGGGATACGGGATTCCGGGGTGATGATGATGGTGTGGGTGGATAGATGATGGAAGGACTCGAAGGATTGGGTGTGTAGAACGTGGAAGGTTGGATGGACGGCTTGGTGATGTTTGAGAATTTAGAAGTGTGCGAATTTCAAATCTCAAATTTCGAGGAGGACGGTGATGGTGTTGGTGGGGGATCTGGTTGTGGAGATTGTAGATCTGAGATTTGAAATCTGATAGATGATAGATGATTAGGTAGGTAGGTAGGTATCTAGATGAAACAGGAGTTGAGCTGTGGTAGTGATGTGTAGTGTTTAAATTGCATGTATGAATGTATGTATATATGTATGTATATATGGATCTAGAAGCGAAGATAGAATCAGAGAATACAAAAGGAGAATATAAATGAAGATGTAAGACGAAAGAAGAGAGACGAGAGATGCGACTAATTATCTATTTATCTACTACCGATCATCAAACTTCAAAGTGAACGAATATATATACAATATACAATATACCAAGTTTCACGTGGAGAATACAGATAGGATAGAGCGGACATTCTTGATATGGAGAACGAGTTGCTAGTCAGGAATTCAGAATACACGCGTGTGTTTCCGATATAGATTTTGATTACTCCTCTTGCTATTGGATATTCATTTCCAGCATTCCACAGTTTAGTTTATTAAACTTAAACCTAATGATCAAATCACTAGATCCATCCAATTCCCATCTCATCATTCCATTTTCTACTCTTAGCTCATACAGTCTATGATAGTATATTACATCTGTAAACCCTTCTTTACGAGGAATTCCCCCCCTCTTACCCGCGAGCCGTCATCTTCACACTCGACCAGAAAACCCCAAAACATCACTCCAGATCCAACGCTTGATGTCTGCACGCAGTTCCTGATCTGCCAAACCCTTCTCGGCTTTCCTATAAACGTCTGGAAGCTAACTGAATCGAGTATGCCGGACGAAACCTGGGGATGAGTGGGTGACGATCTAGGATCTAGGGAGAGAGATGTGAGGTGAATCAGTGATGATATATGCCGGAATTGACCCGGTCGTGATTTTTCGGGGTAGAAGCGGAAAAGTGGGATCGAAGTGGAGGCTAGAGAAGGAAGTTCGGGGAATGAATGGATGGTGGGGATTCTCTTGGAGGGGAGTGGAGGGGAGTGGAGGGGTGATAAGATAAGGGAAGGATAAGGATGTGATTTTCGAGTCATGTAGATTGGAGAGATTCATTTTCATATTCATATTCATTTTCATTTCATGGCTTATCAAAAGGAAACGATCGGTGATCCCGATAATTAGGAGTCGAAATAGTAGAACTAGAATATCTATTCTCAACCCATACAATCTCTGAAATAACAAACTAGACAGGTATATCGTTTTGGGATTCTAATGTACAAGTCTTTCCTAGGTATCATTTCACCATGCCATGGTTTTCTATTCGATCGTATCCTCATCTGCTATGTCGTGTTAGCTGAGCTACCGTTTCAAAATACCAAGAAAGCTGTAGATAAGAATCGTGAGTCCTGAACTCCTGAGCCCTGCTAAAGTTAAAAGGTCGGTTGTAATTCACACCTATCCTGTGGGTTCACATAAATATTCTCATGAACAATAATATCAATACTGCAGTAAATCAGCCAAAAATAAAAAAACAAAAACAACATGCTTGGAATGAAGGTTGGCTTTTCGATGCATGATATTTCATGGGACTGGATAGATATAGTATGTTGATATACCTAGGTATCCAAATAGGAGGAACAAAAATGGTAGCTGTTGGTAATCGATCGCTCATTTTTGCACTGGTGTGCAAATATGCTGTATATTAATAGCAGTCAGGTAGAACCTGGGTGAACATCGCAGATTTCCAGATATAAATTCCATGATAGACATATATATCCCGCAGAAGCTGCGGGCGTTGACTGTTTTATATCATAGCCTATCAAATATATAAGTATACCTATTCAGCGAGATATACTCATGCAAAGCAGCATAATTAAGTACGGAATGAATGGCCTGAAGGAGCACGCAATATGCACAAAATATTCGACATATTCTGGGGTGCAGAATATGGCAAATACATATAAGTTTAGCTGATGTACGAAAAATGATGGAAGTTGTATATAATAAAAAATGGAAAAATTAGTTTTGGTTTGGTACAATATTGGCCAAAAAAATTCATTTACTAGAAATTACAAAAAGATATTCTTGATTCAGAATATCGAAAGACTCGATGCGAAAATGTAGATCCTAGATCGCAACAGAGCGGGGAATGACGGAAATCAAGCTATGGAAATGGTTTGAGGGTATCGACTGAGGTGAAAACGGCGCTGGCAAAGGAAAGAGGAATTTGAATATCGTGCGGTCGTTAAATAGCGTCATAGTATGGGTCGTTCGTTGCGCATGGAGGTAAATTAAGGGATAGAGCTTCAAGCTCAAATTTCATACTTGGATGGGGATAGTATGAGTTTTTGAGTGGATTCGAGGTTCGTAGAAATCTTTCGTCTTTCTTGATTTCGTATGAGACGTATCTGTTCGCCGAGTTGTCCTTGTATGATTCATGCAACGGCCAAAGCTAGAATTTGGGAGTAGAGTGGCAGGAAGGGTTTGCGTTCTCCTTCCACATTGTATCATGTACTCATCGAAAATCTCCCGAGGGATTTCTGAGAAGTTGCGCATGTGTGTGTTTTGTCGTCGTTTCCTCAATCTATTTGTGTGTCTTATCGTGTCTTCGTGAATCAAGGATTCCGAATAGGCCGGCTTTCTTTTCCTCCACATCATAAACAGAGCGAGAAGGTGAGTCGACAAATCTTTCTCCTATTTGCCACTTCACATCCTCCTAGCCCACGGGCTCAAATTGACCTCCTTCCTTTTTTCGGCCATCTTCTTCCTCTTTCTTTCTTCTGCTTCTTCTGCCTTTCTACACTTTTCCAAATACTCCCTGAACTCTCGTCCTTCTATATTATCATCCATCCCATTGTTTATTTTGGATGTCTCTTTGACTTCTGCACCTATGCTTGTTTTCCGCGGAGAACTATGGGAACCATTCGTAGAATTGGTTGTGGATGGTGACAAAGGGTTTTTGTGTTCAGTATTAGGAGTTCTAAGTGATTTGCGACATTGGTGATGCTTTTTATCGTTCTCCAGGGGAGTCTTGGAGTTTGATGGAAAGGAAAAAGATCGAAGCTTCTGCAGAAACATCTTTCGCAGGCGTAAACCCTCGACCAGGCGGGCATATGAAGGTATATTTATAGCTGAATTGTTCGAACAAACTACTGCAAAGCTGGGAGGACGAATCAGTATTGGCGGCTTTGGCGCAGGTTGCAAAGTTTCGACTATGACCCTGTAAATGATCAAAGTCAGAGGCCCAAGGTCCGAGGACGATTTGGTATCAACTGTCGAACAAACTGAGTGGATACTTGGGGTGTTGTTGCTTTTGGATCTTGATTTGAATGTGAGGATATCAATAGTCGAAGGTGGGTTGAAAGGCACAGTGAAGAGTTTCTTTGTTCGCGAATTAATTCTCAGTACCTAACGAATTGTAGTTTCTGAATGGTCTCGTGCCTCATTCAGTGGTGGCGCTGTTGGAATCACTGTCTCGATATCAAATTAGTCACAATATGAGATTGTGAGGAGGCGTAAATGTCGGTGTCGTATGAACCAAAATTACTGCCTATCGTTTGCAAATCTGGGAACATATGACGATGACGGGGTTCGGTGTCGGTGCTCCTATCATGCTCTGATACCTTGAAGTTGGGAGACCGTCCAGTACTCTTCACACCAGTACATCAAACCCGTTTGTATCTGTGCAAGGTCTCGCTGGAAGAATATCGTCGATATACTGGATTGCAGCAAAGGTTGGATACTAGGTATTTAGATCCAAGATTCTTTGTTCTGTTTAGCCTATTGTCTATATGGGTGACGAAAGAGTAATCAACCCTTTCTTGTATCTGTGTGATGTTGCAGTTCAGTCGTTCCTATCGTTCTTGTTGTACAAATCACTTTGATCAAATGTAACCTCGATGAGTGCCCCTTCTTGGCGAAAGTCCCCCATTCCACATTTTTTAATCTTGAACTGAACCATAAAAGGAAGCTTGCATTAAGTGGTCTGATTATTACCCGTTCGGACCCGTCTAGTTGGTTTTGGGTTCCCTTTGAGTTCGGTTGGACTTTTTCAACACACTGGGAAATGACTAGAAAAACACAAGGCTATCACAAGCCTGACACTCCGCAAATCAGTGGATTCGGGTAGGAATAGTGTACATGTCAACGGTTTTAGCTCCTGCAAACCTTTCAATTGGTACGATTCAAAGTTTTTAACAGGACAAAGTGGAAGAGGGAAGGGCGGTCTAGAATTTGATAAAAGATTGAAAATTGATGGTTACACATGTGGCAATAGAGCAAGTACACGAAATATGAAGTTGTACTTTGTAAAGTTAATGTAAGATTGAAAAGATAAGAACTTGAAGACTGACTAAAAGCGGGGTAGGTCTTGCTATCATCACGTGTAGGTAGGGCAGAAAGGGGTTAGATAATTATGGGAACGTAGGATCGGTGAAGTGGATGGAGAAGATTGTGATGTCTCGAACATATGCACGCATCTTCTTCATTACAGCGGCTCGAGAGCGAGCTCAATGCCTTTCTAAGATTTCACAGTCAGTGGCATGCTATCCACCTCAATCACATATATGCTCATCTCTTTACTCTCGAAACAAGTGAGCTTGGAATTGTACATGAAGTTATTATGCTTTGAGTTTATAAACCCTAATTATTCATCGTTTTGTATCATCTAATTAACTAGGAAATCTGAAATCTGTATCATAGGATTACCCAAAGAGACAACTCCATGGAGAAGACTCTGAATAATCCTGATTAAATTCCGAGAACTACCTTACGAATCTATTATCCCCTATCTTCGAAACTATGTCGAAACGAAACTGTATGTCCATTTCCCTCCAACCATGAAATAAGCAGTCCTAGAAAACTCCAAATATGATTCTTCGAAAGGCTCGACCCATTGACAAGCTCCAACTTCCGAAAAACTCCATACGTACAGTGCACCCTTCAAAAATCCCCCATTGAAATGGTCCCAAACTCCGTAGACGATGCACAGTCAAACAACGCTTGAATTTCATGCTGGTAACTCTCTAGGTCTGATGGGATCGGCAGGCATTTCATACAAAGGCTGATCAGCATAGGCACTATGCATACTTTGTGCGTCACCCAGTGCCATGAAACTTGGGCTCATGCTTGGACTCATAGCGCTTGGTGTCAATATTCCACCAGTATGTATACTGCCATTATCAATGTTCGGACTACCAAGTGGACTATCTGTATATCCCGTCGGAACGTATCCTTGGCTGGGACTTCCGGGGGGCTTCGACGACCTGACAGAGTGATGAACAGATTCCGCTTGAATAGCACTCATTGCATTGGGCAAGTCATGATCTTCAGAGGAAGAATGTCCAGGATCGTATGCAAGTGCTCTGCTGGCTCTTTTATTTGACTCTCTGCGACGATGAAAGAGCCAGACAAGAACCCCCAAAATTGAGACAACACCAATTCCGCCAAAAATTCCGCCAATGATGGCGCCCAAGGAGTGAATACTATCTGGAGAATATGTATCGACAGTGCTGTTACCTTCGTCGGTTGGGCTTCCAATTGAGATGGTCAGTATGCTTGAAATTTTTGATGACACTGTAGGCGTTGGCGTTGCTGACGTTTCTGAGGTTTCTGACCTTGCTGTAGTGGTAGAAAAATAAGTAGCGAGATCTACAGAAATTGGCGTAACGAAAGTGGCTTCCCAAGTTTTCCAGCTCTGTTTATCACTACATGTGATGGATGTATAGACATATGTATCCGATACGAGATACCACATGGCGCAATAATCATTTCCATCGTCATTCCCACCACTATTAGATCAGAGTGTCAGTATAATCCGTTCTAGAGCCCATTCCAACTCTTGAAATATTTCTCTTTCTATTTGCCCTTCGAACTTTTCAATTTCGGTTGTGGATTTTGCAATTTGGAAATAATAAACCTATGAAAAGCTCACATACCAAGTTGTAGCACTTATGTTTGGAACTGATGTTCTTCCACAACTACTTGTACAGGCATGTTCGTCGACGCAGACCCCTGGCCAACCACAACTCCTCGGATCTGAAATACCAGTATAGCAAGTTCCGAACATCAATCCATTTTCGTCAACCAGACAAGTATCTCCGATGAATAATTCGAGATCAAAATTCGGAATTTGATAGTTGCCGCATGATTCGACCACTGTTTCTCGTTTGACGACTTGAAATGTCGGAAAATGCGGTTTTGGTGGAGGGGTAGTTGGCGCAGGTGCTCTCGTGGAGACTTTGAGGCTTGACGAAATGGAGGTTTTGGTTGGAGAAGGACTCTTATGCTTGAAGCCAGTAAGCGCAATCTTTTTGGAAGTGACGTTGTTTGCAAAACAAATGGCGACAATGAAAGCAAGGATCAAAATACTTCGAGACATCTCTTCAATCTGGGGTTGTGGTGTAGAAATGTGGTGTGGAGATTTTATTTGGACATCTTTAAAGGTCGAGGATGTTGACCAGGTGAAAGAAGTGAAGATGCTAGGTGTAACAACAATCTCTTGTAGTTGTGGTAACAATTATTCACTTCGGAGAGCTTTCTCATATGTTATTGTTGTGGCTGACCAATTGGTAGATGGGGTTTGAATACCAACAGTTGGTTCAAAGTGATCGGAAATTACATTACCTATGAAGACAAAATTTAGACAAGAACATTCCAAGAACATCCAGATGAGTAGTTGATCTTTTTAGACCAAAGAAGTGTTCTTAGGCTTTCAATAATAATCACATTTAGAGCAGACTTTCGAACCAGATAATACAGCTTCCTACTGATTTCTGACAACAAAGCAGAAGTTGAAGAAAGTTCCAGCATACAATCTATCATACTCCTTTCTACCAGCTCACTTCCTATTTGTCTACCTCTACTCATTTCATGGCAATGAAACTGTGGATCAACTCGAAGACAAAGTGCAGCCTTCATCTCCAGCTGCTCACGAATGTTGGATGTCTGTCTAGATTCACAATCTTGAATTCACTACTACCCTAGCCACTTGGAAACGAATTTTCAACCTTTTTCAACAAATCTCGTGATCGAAAAAAAGTCTGAGCACAAAAGCTATGAATAAGTAGTGAATCAACTCTAGTAGTCAGTCTTCTCCTCTATTTCAGCTTCTTAGAATATACACTCCTCCCTCATCCTTTCTCCCAGCTATAACACCAGAGATGAGGACTTTCTCCACTATTCTTTAATATCTTCAACATCTCATGAACAGACGGACCAGACCCTACATACTTCCAACTAACAACGATTTTGAAGAATTCAAACGAGCGTCTGCCTTCTTTCGTTTCTACAAAATCTACCTCCTCAAACGACCTTTCAAACATGGTAAGACGCCTTATTCGAGCTTTCTATCCAGCTCTTTTAGTCACACTGCTAATACAGAATCTCGAAAGCATTCTCCGCGAGCAGACAGAGATGAGTAACTCATCCCAAAAGAAGATTTTGAATGAGACCAGAATCATAATTAGATTGATATGTGAGTCCTTCGACAAGTTTCAAGTTTACTGATAAGAATTCTGGAACCTACTTACCGCACATTGTGATGTTTTGTGATATAATCCCTGCAAAATTTATGTTTTCTTATAACGTAACGTATGGGGAACTCGGACATATGGGGAACTCGGACACTTTTAGCCCATCACCAACTTGAAACCGCAATAACTTTTATTATGCATACCCAATCACCTTCTACATCTGCTCAAATTGAAGAGAAGCTTCAAAAGGCTATAATTTCACTTCAATTGAAAGAATTTAAATCAATTAGAAAGGCTGCAGAGCATTTTGAAGTCCCTAAGTCTACCCTAGCTGATAGGCTGGCTGGGAAGAAAACACGTTCCCAAACCCACGAAATGGCTCAAATTCTTTCAAACGCAGAAGAAAATACTCTTGTACGATGGATTTCACGACTTACCATCACTGGATTCCCTGCTACACCTATGTTGGTGAAGGAAATGGCCGACGAAATTCGTCTTCGACGCGTTCGGGTCGCGTCATCTCGAAATCCTACCTCGACAGAAATTCCACCTATAGGCCACGAATGGATCTATAGATTCCAAAAACGACATCCAGAACTTAAAACATGCTATTCACGTCAATTAGAGTCTAATCGGGCTAAAGAAGCAACTCCGGAGAATATTCAGGCTTGGTTTGACGCGTTTCGCACGCGTCTCATTGAGCGAAAGTATGAATTAGATGATATGTATAATATGGATGAAACCGGATTTGGAGTTGGAAGTACTCAAAGTACGCGCATTATAGTCGATTCTACTCAGAAATCGAATTGGAAAGTTACAGCTGGCAAGCAAGAATGGATAACTGCATTTGAATGTGTCAATGCAGCTGGAAATGCTCTATCACCTATGGTCATTTTCAAGGCTCAGAATACGAATTCTGCATGGATTCCAAAGGACACACCTCAAAGCTGGCAGTTCTCTACTAGTACAAATGGATGGACCTCAAATAGCCATGGATTAGAATGGTTAAAAAGGGTTTTCGAACCAGAATCCAAGAAAGTGTCAGGTGACCGACCTCGACTTTTGATCATGGATGGCCATTCAAGCCATATTACAGGTAGCTTTATTGCTTTCTGTATAGATAATGATATTGATTTACTTATATTACCTCCTCATTGCTCTCACTTGCTTCAGCCACTTGCTATTGCGGTGTATGGGCCAATGAAACGATATCATGCTTTAGAGGTCGATCGATATTCTCGAGCTGGTGTAAAGCGAATCCAAAGAGCTGAATGGGTAGAACTCTTTCAAAATATTAGAAAAAAAGCATTGAATTCTTCTAATATTAAAGCTGGCTGGAGAGGAGCTGGTTTAGTACCTTTTGCCCCACGAAAAGTACTCGATTCATTACCATTTAACTCCTCCCAGCAACCTTCTACTCCACAAATGAGAACCCCCAATCAAGACCTAGACTTGTCTATACTCAGGAGTTCTCCTCCAGATGGAACAGAACTAAGGCAAGCAAATCAGATCTTTAATACAGCTCTAGCAAGCAGTGGTTCTCCTGCATCGCCAACTCGTCGATATGCCAAGAGAATGACTAGGCTTGTAGAATCTCAAAATGCTGAGATAGCCCTACTTCGGAAACAGCTCTCTGATGCTCAGGAGGTAATTGAGACTCGAAAGAAAAGAACTAAAGGCAAAAGAGTCAAATTACAAGGTCAATTTGTCTTTAGTACTAAGGAAGTATTGAAAATGGTACGTGAGGCGGAGGAAAAACCGAAGGAGAAAAAGCCACGAGGACGGCCACGCAAACGCCCAATTGAAGAATCAGAAGAAGAGATTGAAGAAGAAGAGCTAGAGAATAGTTCAAGTGATTCGGAATTGGAATTGGAGGATTGTGTGGCTCGTAGAACAAGATCGCGTGTAGAATAATTGAAAAAGTGTCCGAGTTCCCCATATGTCCGAGTTCCCCATACGTTACGTTATATTATAATATTTGATTTTTCATTTACTAATAATTTAAAAATGAAATAGTTATTTCAAGGGTATATAATCTTAATATATAAAGGTTTAATAATATAGAAAGCTTTTCATTAAAACATTATAATTATATTAATAATGAAAACAAAACTTTTTAGTATTGAAAGAATTATAAAAAAGATTATAATGTTTAAAAGATATTTTAAAGAAATATAACTTGAGGTAGTATTTATTTAAATCTTTTATAACAATTAATAGATTATTTATTTAATAATAAAGGAGAATCATAGAATCTGAATAAAACTATATTATATCAATATTCAAAATATATAGCTATAATAGGAATACAAAAAAGGAAGCTTTATTATTATTCATATATTAATAAATAAAATGCTAATTAATAGTTTAACAAAAATATTAACTCAATAGAAGTTTAAGTATTTTTGATTATTATTAAATTATTAAGATTTTTATAAATATATTAAAAAAATTAATTAATATATATCAAATCCAATTAATATAATTTTACAAAAAATCGATAAAATTATAAATGTTAAGTAAGTTTATTGATATTAATTATATTATATTTTTTTATAATTATATCTTTTAGTTATACTTATATTTTCCTTTATTTATAAATATAATTCATTATTATAAATAAACTAATATTTCATTTATTTAAAATTATAGATTTAAAAAATACCAATCAAATCCGGAAATATTTATTCAAAGCTTATTAAGCTTATTATTGAAATCATTTATTATTATAGAATTATATATTAATATTATTTAAGGATTGATAGTATAAAAATATATAATAGATAAGAAGTAAATGAAGAAAATATTATGAAAATTAATGATAATAATAAAATAAATGAATATGAAATAAATTATTTAAATAAAAAGAATATAAAAGAAAAATGTATTAAAAAATGTTTGAAAGGGAACATTTTTGATTTAAACCCAAAATAACTTAAACAAAATCGAAAAAGATTTAGAAATAATATTTATTTGAATAAGGATGGGAAGGTATATTTTTTAGAAAAAAGGAATAGGTTGAGAAAACAGATTAGTGGGAGTAGGGTTGTTATTATTTTGAAAAGGGTTCTAATTATTATTTCAAATCTAAAAGATAAAGACTTTCCAGAAAACGAAAGATCTCTTAACAATTATTAATAAGTTAGATAATTTGATGGGCAATATATTGATCAAGTCTTTATAAAAAGAATCAATTGTATTTTTAAACCTTAAAATAAATTTTAATTTATTTATATAAATAACTATCTAGGTATATATTTTCCTTATATTTTCTATAATTACACAAAAAAAGAATAATACTTTTATTGAAATAATCATATTCTAATAAACAATGGAATTCGTCCGGCTAACATTAATATTATTCTTAATCTTAATAAACCTTTTTTCAAAATACTTATATGAATTTTTTAAACAAGTTGTTTTATAAATCTAATAGCTTTAATAAATAATAAAATCATTATGATTAAGGTAATTCGAAGATTTGTTTAATATAAAATGTTTAAAGCAAAAAAGCAAATTGAAGAATTTATAATATCAAAGTTAAAATTAATTCAGAAAGTAATTAAGACAAAAGTAATATAGATTGCTTATCAAAGCTTAATAGTATATCTCTTCTTTTTGAAAAAATATCTTTTCTTTTTAATATAATTTGAACCAGAATTTTCGATAATAATTAAAGATTTACAGCTTTAATCAATAAAATTAATTATCCTTTTGAAAAATTGATTGAAATTAGGCAAGTATGTTTTTTTGTTAAATTTGTTATTAAAAGGAATAAAATCGTTAAAAGTAGGGATATCATCCTTATATTAAATGGGAATTTCCCTTTTTTTTAGGTATATCATTATTAATATTATTATTATTATTATAATACTCAGCTTCTTTTTTATATTTATTATTTTTATATTAACTAGAAAGAAATAAGGAAATGTATTAAGATTGATGAGGTGGAGACTATCCAAAACCAATTGTAAACAATCTAGTATTACTTATTATAAGGAGATTATCATTAGGAAATTTTGGTATATATTATAAAATAAAAAGAAACAAAATAGAAATTGAGAGAAATTGTATTCTTTTCGATTTCTATAAGGTAAGGAATTAGTATTAATTAAAATAATTGAAGACTACCGG